TAGGAAAGGCGATGTAAGAGAAAAGCATCCATTCATTTCTCAAACGAATGCTGCCTTTCGTTGGATGAAAACCGTCACATCTTCATTCGACAACTTTATATAGAAGAAATTTTCATCAATCTTTCTTTCTTTCTTTTGCCAGTCCTGGGACTTGAACTCAAGGCCTGGGCGCTGTCCCTGAGCTTCTTTCGCTCAAAGCTAGTGCTCTACCACTTGAGCCACAGCGCCACTTCCGGCTTTTTCTGTGTCTGTGGTGCTGAGGAATCGAACCCAGGGCTTCATGCATGCTAGGCGAGCGCTCTGCCACTGAGCCACCTGCCCAGCCCTCCTTCTCTTCTTTCTTTTGGTACAGGGAGAGACATCTCTACACCCTGTGTATCACAGACTAATCCTACACCACCACGCTACCCCAATGGTTGGTCCTTCTACCTGTGTTCTAGAATACACCTCTTCTACCAGAAGTCCATGAGCCACGCCTGTCATCCCAGCTACTCAGGAGGCTGTGGTCTGAGGATCACGGTTCAAAGCCAGCCTGGGAACATCTGTTGAGTCTCTTATCTCTAATTCACTACCAAACGGCTGGAAGTGGAGGTGTGGCTCAAGCGGCAGAGCTCCAACTTTGAACTAAAGGCCAAGCGAGATCATAAGGCTTTGTGTTCAAGTTCTAGCACTGTCACCTGCCCACAAAAGGAACAAAACAATACGATTTGATTAACAATATGCACCTGAGGACCGCAGTTCAAGGCCAGCCCGGGCAGGAAAGTCCGTGAGACTCTAATCTCCCATGAACCACCAGAAAACCAGAAGTGGTGCTGTGGCTCAAGTGGTAGAGCACCAGCCTTGAGTGAAAGAGCTCAGGGACAGCGCCCAGGCCCCGAGTTCAAGCCCTGGGACACTCTCTCTCTCTGTCTCTCTGTCTGTCTGTCTGTCTCTCTCTCTCTCTCTCTCTCACACACACACACACAAATTTATCTCCCTAAGGGTCAGAAAGGAATGCCTGCATTTAAAAATAAATCTTAAGCCAGGCACCAGGCTCTGAGTTCAAGACCCAGGAGCAGCAGTAATAATAATGGTAACAACAATAACAATAATAATAAATCTTAAATCGTGTTTTCCTATTTCGCAGCCTGCCCTGGCATTATAGCCGCTGTCCGTTATGTAACGGGTCAGCTGCACTAAACAAGCAGGGAGACATCTTTCCCAGCGTGTCCCTGCTGCACCCCAGGACGGGACAGTTAGGAGGGATTTGGGGTCCACGGTGATGAGCAGGCCCAGCACCCCGGCTCTGATGGCTAGAACTGTGCAGAAGAATGCAGAGGTAAAGAACAATTAAGGGGAGGGGAGGGGAGGAAAAAGGGAGAAAGTAAGCAGGAAAAGGGAAAGACAAGAAATAAGGGAAGGGAAGGAAAGGAAGGAAGGAAGGAAGGGGAGAGAGGGAAGGAAGGAAGGGGGAAAGAGAGAAGGAAAGAAGGAAGGAAGGAAGGAGGAGAGAGGGAAGGAAGGAAGGAAGGGAGAAAGGAAGGAAGGAAGGAAGGGGGAGAGAGGGAAGGAAGGAAGGGGGAAGGAAGGAAGGAAGGAAGGAAGGAGAGAGGGAAGGAAGGAAGGAAGGAAGGAAGGAAGGAAGGAAGGAAGGAAGGAAGGAAGGAAGGAAGGAAGGAAGGAAGGAAGGGTGTTCACGCCGTGTGCACTTCCATAGAATGTCCAGCAGGTGGCAGTGTGTACGAGTGTCACCAGAACCCCCAGCTCCACTTTACATATTAGCAATGCAAACTTGGGGATCCTTTCCCTATGCACCCCGCCCCCCCATCCCCTGTCCCCCAAACCTGAGCCTCTCAACTTCAGCTACAACGTGCGTGCAATTCCAGCTTTCCTTTTTAACTTGTTGTTGTGTTTTGGTCGGTCCTGGGACTTGAACTCAGGGCCTGGGCGCTGTCCCTGAGCTCTTTCACTCAAGGCTGGCGCTCTACCACTTGAGCCACAGCGCCACTTCTGGTTTTCTGGTGGTTCATGGGAGATCAGAGTCTCACGGACTTTCCTGCCCAGGCTGGCTTTGAACCGCGATCCTCAGATCTCAGCCTCCTGAGTGGCTGGGATGGCAGGCCTGAGCGCTGGGGCCCGGCTCCGTAGTTCAGCTTAGGACGCAGCAAGGTTAGAAAACCCCTGAACTGGGGTTCAGGAGAACGTGAAACGCTACCCCAGCTCTCGGACAGGCTTGCTTCACACAAGCCAGGGTCCATGAATAAATCATGTCTTTTCTCGCTTTCCACATCCTATACCATCAGAGGGGAAAAACAACCAAGCAAACCCCCGAAAGCCCAGCGCCTGCCGGCCCAGCTCTCCAGGGGGTGGAAAAAGTGAATTTTCGTTTCCTTTTTAGCACAGGAGAAAATAAACCCAAAGCACCTCTTGCGTCCATTTCCTGAGTCCGTGGGATCGCTGCTCTTTCCTCTGATCAGAGGCCTGGCCCTCGGGGCTGCTCCCTCCCAGCGTCCCCCTCGGGTCTGGCTCTGTGTGACGTCCAGCCCCCTGTCCCCCGTCCTGTCCCCATGGACTGTCCATCCAGCCTCTGCCCAGGGGAGCAAACCTGCGCCCTTCGTCTCTGAGCCTGGCTGACCTCACTCAGCACGATTTGTTCTAGGCCCCTTCTTTTTTGTTTGTTGGTCGTGGGACTTGAACTCAGGGCCTGGGCGCTGTCCCTCAGCTCTTCAGCTCCAGGCTGGCGCTCTACCCCTTGAGCCACAGCGCCACTTCTGGCTTTTTCTGCTTATGGGGTGCTGAGGAATCGAACCCAGGGCCTCATGCATGCAAGGCAAGCACTCTACCACTAAGCCACCTGCCCAGCCCCTCTAGATCCTTCTGAAGAAGTGAATTTTCACCTGCTTTTTATTTCTGTTTTTAATTGTTGTTATACTTTTCATTGATGCTTCAATAGATACACAACAGCTGTGGGCACAATTTAAAAGCTACCCCAAGATACTCGATGAAAAGCCACCCCATCTCCGCTGGCTCCGGACCCAGGCCGGAAGCAACTGCCTTCAGTAATGCCCAGGGGCCCTCCGTAAAAGCATCTAGACATGAAATCCCGTGTCGTAATATTTTAATACATGCTTTCAAGCCGGGCACCGTGGCTCCCGCCTGCCATCCCAGCTCCTCAGGAGGCTGAGATCTGAGGATCACAGTTCAAAGCCAGCCTGGACAGGAAAGTCCGTGAGACTCTGATCTCCCGTGAACCACCAGCAAACCAGAAATGGAGCTGTGGCTCAAGTGGTAGAGCACCAGCCCTGAGTGGAAGAGCTCAGGGACAGCGCCCAGGCCCTGAGTTCAAGTCCCAACACACACACACACACATACTCCGTGGTCCAGTGCTTGCTTAGCACTGTGAAAAATAAGCTACATAAACAAAACTAGGCCTTCGAATACTTAAATTTAGCTAAGGAAAGCGTTTGCGCGTTGCTTTCTCTTTTTAAGCAGCAGCAACAACAGAAAGGCAAGGCGCTGGCAGAAAGATGGCTTCCAGAACCTTCTCCCTGTGGCTGGCTCCGGAGATGCCAGCCGGGCCCTTGTGGGTCTCGAGAACCCTGTGTTCAGGTGCGTTCAGTGATGAGCCACGGCCAGTCACTCACGCCACCCCCCCCCCAGCCTGCCGGCCAACGCCCGCAGCAACCTTCTGTAGTCTCAGAGCCCAGTCCATTCCACCAGTGCATTGGCATTGCTCCAAACAAGGGAGGCCAACCAGCGGTGGGAACAGTGCTAGCGTGTGCGCAGGGCAGGTGTGGGGCCTGGGTGCAACCCCAGAACAGCACGGAGGGAGGGAGGGAGGGAGCGAGGGAGGGAGGAGGGAAGGAGGGAGGGAGGAAGAGAGGGAAGAAAGGGGGGAGGGAAGGAAGGAAGGAAGGAAGGAAGGAAGGAAGGAAGGAAGGAAGGAAGGAGCTATAAAGTAAATACAAGCTTAAGTGAATAACTAGGCAGTAAGCCTAGCTGGCCCTGGCTGGCTTTTTTCTCCTTTTTTTTTCTCTGTCTATCCTGGGTCTTGAACTCAGGGCCTGGGCGCTGTCCCTGAGCTCTTTCACGCCAGGCTGGTGCTCTACCCCTTGAGCCACACAGCGCCACTTCCGGGTTCCTGGCGGTTCATTGATGATGAGACTCTCATGGACTTTCCTGCCGGGGCTGGCCTCCAACCTCGATCCTCAGGATCTCAGCCTCCTGCGCAGCTGGGATGACAGGCGGGAGCCACGGGTGCCCCGGCCAGGCTGTCTGCTGTGAAACCAGGTGTTTCTTCTTGAGATCCAGATTGCCTTCTGCCGTCTGTCCTTGAGAAACGCAGTTTCTTTGTCACGCCAGGGCTTGCGTCTGGAGAAGTCTTCCAGCTCCTGGCTCTGCCAGGGTCCACGTCACCTTTTCTGTTTCCCTCTCTGCCATCCGGGGGTTCAGGGCACCCGGATGACGTGGGCCCAGGAGGAGAAATCTGGCTTTGCTCCCATCTTTCCTTCCCCTGCAGTGTGTGTGCAGGAGTGCAAGGGTTAAACCCAGCAGAGCCCGGGGGGGGGGGGGGGGCTGGGCTATTCCCCCCCCATGCACGCTACTGCTGCCTCAGTTTCCCCTCATCTCCGGCCTCAGCCCTGCAGGAGCTCAGTGTAGGGTGCAATCAAGACTCCACACTGCCCAGGGTTGGTTTGTGGGGTTCTGGTTGTTCAACGCCCCCCTATTCTGCAAAAATAGCAAGGATCGGAACTGTGTGTGTGTGTGTGTGTGTGCGCACACGCGAGTGCCCTTCCACCCAAGGAGACGCACAAGGGCAAAGCCATCAGATGCATGCACGCACCACGTGGGTCAGGAGAGCCCGAAGGTGACCTTCAAGGTGGGGGGGGCACATTCCTGAGCCGGGTCCTTGGCCGGGATTGAGCGGAGGTGCAGGGAGGGGTGTCCGGCTGGCTCTGGGCTTTCCAATCACAATGAAGCCAGCGCGGGGCCCGGGAGGGGTGGGGCCTGGCTGGCCGCGGGCCGAGCCTGCGCAGGAGAGAGAAGAGGAGGAGGAGGAGGAGGAGGAAGAGAAGCCGAAACCTTCTGCAGACTTGGCTTTCTTCTCCGCATCCCTGGTCCTGAGGGTTTTCTGGTGAGGCTCAAACCCCGGGGTTTGTGTGTGCGTGTGCATGCGTGTGTGCATGCGTGTGTATGTGTGTGTGTGTGTGCGTGTGTAAAAGCTGCTGCAGGACTCACAAGATTTCTGTCCTTGGGAGCATCTGACCAGGCCCCACCGAGACAGACCAACCTCCCCCGCTTTCCAGACAGAAACTTGTTGCACTTGGTGCTAAAATTGGGGTGCTCGATGCGTTTTATTGAGGGGTGCAGCCTGGGGGGGGTGAGGAGCTGGAAGAAGATTGGGGGGGAGGAGGAACTCCAGGTAGCCAAGAAGGAGACAGGATGACCTTGAAATACCCCCCCCCACCTTCCCCCACCTTCCTCCTGACCCTGGTGGCTGCATTATTATTATCATTGTTGTTGTTATTGTTAGCAGGTTTAACCAGTTCAGCCGTGAGCTCCCGTGAGGCGAACTGGATTGTTTACTTTGCTCGGAGAAGAAAGGACCTGACCGGTCCCCCTGGAGAGCTAGCTTCCCCCGGGAGGGCTAGGCCTGCGGTCTCTCCCCGGGGGATCTCTGCTTCCCCTGGGCTTGGGGGAAGGAGAAGGAAGAGGTTTGGGGGCGAGGAGAGCCGAGAGTTAGGCCTGCGTGGTGGTGGGGGGGAAGGAGCTAGGGAGGGCTCTTACTTAGTACCGGAATTTCAGTGGCCATTAACCAACAAACAGGCCAAACCCACCGGGGTGTAGGAAAGGTTCTCTGTTGTGTCCAGAGATTCTGCCTGGAGGTCATTTGTTCTGGAATTTACCACCCAGGGCGTCCTGGCTGCTGATTTCTAGCCCTAGGCCGGGTGGATTTTTTTTTCCTTTGTTTGTCCTTTCTGTTTTTATTTGTATGTATTGGCTTTGTTGCTGTTTGCTGCCAGGATTTCCTCTGCCCCTTAGCTTTTTGCCACTCAAGGCTGGTGCTCTACCCCTTCAGCCACAGCTCTACTTGAAACTTTTTTTTTTTTTTTTGCTGGTTCACCGGAGATAAAGAATCTCACGGACTTTTTCTTCCCCGGGCTGGCCTTGAACCGGGATCCTCACCTCTCAGCCTCCTGAGAGGCTAGGATGATGGGCGTGAGCCACCGGCCTCCACTTCTAACACAAACCCTTTCTTCTCCTTATGTATAGTTCCTATTCGGGAAAAAGTAAAAGAAATTGGGGGAAAAAATGACCACGAAGGGAAAAAAAAATTGTATTTTTCTTTCCAGAAAAATCTAGAAGCATCTCCACAGGGCTGGCGACCTCTAAAAACGGTAGTTCACTGACTGAAGCCAAAGTTGGGTGAGAACAGTTGCATCTGTATTTAGAGCCACTTTCTAGGTCTTTCTCTGGACGTAAACTGTCTTAAGCCCGTGGGAGGGGAAATCACGCTTTTGTTCAGCCATAAGCTGACTGAGAGTCTGGGTGCATGCGTGAAGGTCACCTCTAGGAAAGGGGAAATTTCTCCTTGTGTTTTTCCCTTCCCCCTTAAATTTTGAGCAAAAGCAGCTCAGGGACAGCGTCCAGGTCCTGAGTTCAAATCTCAGGACTGATTCAAAAAGAAAAGAAAAAGCTCACCCAGGGCGTGTGTGAGGCCTGAGTTCAAGCTCCAGACAGAAGGACAGACACACACAGACCCAGAGGCTGATTTCACTGAAGGTGACCCCCCGCCCCCCCCCCCCCCCCATGCACACGGAGGGAAAACAAACACTACCTCTCTGCTGGACCAGAGAGGTTCAGTCATTTGCTTCCAACAGCAGCAGCCATGTTGGTACCACCAGACCATTGATCAGCTCAGCTCGCTGATAGGTTTTAGGTGGGATTTAAAGCCAGAGATCCCCTTGGTCAAGTCTGCCCTAGGGCAGGAAATCTACGCAGAACCGCAGACCAGAACCGGCCAACAACTTTAAAGATGAGTTTGTGCACTCTTCCATAATCTTTATTGTATTTAAATTCTATTAGATTCTAGTTTCTTTTAATTCTTTCTTGCTCGAGGCTGGTGCTCGACTGCTCGTGCCTCAATTTGCACTTTGGGGATTTTTGCCAGCAAAGTCTCAGCCTCCTCGAAGCCGGCCTCCAACCACGATCCTCGGGTCTCGGCCTCCGCGTAGCTCCGGATGACAGGCCCCCTGACTCATCCCCAGTTCTTTTCCTTCCAAGTGGCAGCCACCACGCCTGCGGGTGACAGTGCTCCCCAGGGGCCCCGGTGGGTTTGGCTGTCAGACTCGATGTTCTGTCTTCCAGAGGAAAATGGCGACCCTGAAAGAGAAACTCATCGCCCCGGTGGCCGACGAGGAGCCGCCCGTGCCCAACAACAAGATCACCGTGGTGGGGGTCGGACAAGTGGGCATGGCCTGTGCCATCAGCATCCTGGGAAAGGTATGTGCTGTTTCATTCACCCTGGTCTTTTGGGCCGGTCCTGGGTCTTGAACTCAGGGCCTGGGCGCTGTCCCTGAGCTCTTTCACTCCAGGCTGGTGCTCTACCCACCGAGCCACAGCGCCACTTCCGGTTTTCTGGTGGTTCATGGGAGATAAGGGTCTCACGGACTTTCCTGCCCTGGGCTGGCCTTGAACCATGATCCTCAGATCTCAGCCTCCTGAGTAGCTGGGATGACAGGCGGGAGCCACGGCGCCCGGCTCGCTGGTCTTAGTTTGGTGTCATTTGAAGCTCACAGAATCTGAGATCACTTTGATGATGGCAAGAATGGCGGAAAACCGTGTAACTCATTCACCACCCGAGAAGGCGCTTCTAATTTGTTCTTACCTGCTTCTACTTTTTGCTTGCTTTCTGCTTCTTTTCCTTCCTTCCTCCCTTCTTTCCTTCCTTCCTTCCTGCTCTTCTTCCTTTTCCTCCCTCCCTTCCTCTTTCCTTCTTTCCTTCCTTCCCTTTCCTCCCTCCCTCCTTCCCTTCCTTTCCTTCCTTCCCTCCTTCCTTTTCTCCCTCCCTCTTTCCCTCCTTCCTTCCTTCTTTCTTTCCCTCCCTCCCTCCTTCCCCCCTTCTTTCCCTCCTTCCTTCCCTCCTTCTTTCCCTCCTTCCTTCCTCCCTCCTTCCTTCTTTCCCCCTCCCTTCCTTCCCTCTTTCCTTCCTTCCCTCCTTTCTTCTTTCTTTCCCTCCTGCCTTATTTTCTTCCTTTTGTGTTTATTTTATTCTCTGTCTGTCTGTCTGCCTGCCTGCCTGTCTGTCTGTCTGTCTGTCTCTGTCTGTCTCTGTCTGCCTGTGTCTGTCTCTGTCTGCCTGTGTCTGTCTGCCTGCCTGCCTGTCTGTCTGTCTGTCTCTGTCTGTCTGCCTATGTCTGTCTCTGTCTGTCTGCCTGTGTCTGTCTGTCTGCCTGTCTGTCTGTGTCTGTCTGTGTCTGTCTGTCTGTGTCTGTCTGGCTTTCTTCCTCTCTGTATATGGGAGCCATTTGAGAGTTCGTTGAACGTCTTCCCGCTCTCTCTCTGCTGAGTTGTCCGTGGTCTCTTTGTAGAACAGACCAGGCTGCGTGACACGCTCAACCCGCTCTCCATGGTGTGTAACAGCCTCCTCCCTTCTTAACACTCAGCTTCCCGGCCCACCCGCAGCTCCGCGGAGGCTGAGAAGGGAGGATCAACCTTCAAAGCCCGCCGCCCGGACAGACAGACCCCACACACTCTTAGTTTCTCCAAAGCCAGAGCCGTGGCCCAAGTGGTAGAGCACCAGCCTCGAGCAGCACCAAGCAAACACCAGAGCTCAGGGACGGCAGCGCCCAGGCCCTGAGTTCAAGTCCCAGGACTGACCCACAAAAGACAGAGAGAAACACAGAAAACAAAGAACAATGGAGACAGTTTGCTCCTGGACGGCCTTGAAAACACCCCGATGGCTCTGAGGGCTTGCTGCCATTCCAAGGGCTTTGGTGAGAACAGAAAAGCAATGTTCTTGCCTCGGTTTCCCCGCTGAGTGGGCTTCTGTCTTGCTTTGCTGGGAGACAGACGTGCAGGCCGGAGCCAGGGACGCCGGCCCTGTCTGCTCACCAGCACAGGGGCCTCTTTGTCCCCCAGTGGAGGCTGCTTGAATAATTTCCTAGGCAAGCAGATCAATTCCTTCTTTTGAGCCAGTCCTGGGATTTGAACTCAGGGCCCGGGCGCTGCCCCTGAGCTCTTTCACTCCAGGCTGGCGCTCTACCACGTGAGCCACGGCTCCACGTCTGGTTTTCTGGTGGTTCCTGGGAGATCAGAGTCTCACAGACTTTCCTGCCCAGGACTGGCCTTGAACCTCGATCCTCTAGATCTCAGCCTCCTGAGCAGCCGGGATGACAGGCGGGAGCCACCTGCTTTTGCCCTAAAACGATGCAGCTGGAAACAACTGTCTGTATACCTAATTTCCTTCAGGGAAACAGGCGTCCGCTAACTGCACGGTCTGCGGAGCTATAAAACCCAGACGCAGGTGTATGTCGCCCACGCTCTCTATTTGAGGATGCCGGAACTAAATACAGCCTGTGCGGTTGTGGTTACTCATTCAATATTGGGTCTCTCCCCCCCTTCCCCTTGTTAATCCAGTGTATGCTTTTCTTTTTCTGTCTCTGCCAACCGTCCGCCCACTGAACCCAGGGGACGGAAGCTCACGTCCTGTACCAGCCTCTTCTGCTTTAGCACCGAATGGGGTCGGGGACAGTTGGGCTTTGCACTGCAGCGACACGGTGTCCTGTTACTAAATTAAGATTGGTATTCCAGCTACCCAGCACACAATGCCAGGGTTATTGTTAAGTTCTCGAGGCTATATTTAGGACTTGGGGGGAAAAAGTAACCAGAGGAGGATTTCTGTGTGACCTTGTCAGGGCCTGGAAAAGAACTAAACTAGCTGTTAGCATCTCAAGCACAAGTCCCACACCAGTAGCTCCCGCCTGTCATCCCAGCTCCTCGGGGAGGCTGAGATCGGAGGATCACGGTGCAAAGCCAGACCCAGGGAAGTCGGTGAGACTCTGATGTGCAATAAACCACTCAGAAAATGGGAAGGGGCGCTGCGTGGCTCACGTGGTAGAGCGCCAGCCTGGAGTGACAGAGCTCAGGGACAGCGCCCCGGCCCTGAGTTCAAATCCCAGGACACACACACACAAAACCAACACGAGGAGTCTCTCTGGGTTGTGGTGAAGGCCCTGGCACTAACGCCCGCTTCCCTCGTCAGTCTCTGGCCGACGAGCTCGCCCTGGTGGACGTCCTTGAAGACAAGCTCAAAGGGGAGATGATGGACCTGCAGCATGGCAGTCTCTTTCTCCAGACGTCCAAAATCGTGGCTGACAAAGGTACATCCATGGCAACGCCCCAGGTCGGCTGCAAAGACTATAATGAGCCCGCCTGGCATCCCAGCCATTCGGGAGGCCGAGATCTGAGGATCGCGGTTCAAGGCCAGCCCGGGCGGGAAAGTCCGTGAGACTCTGATCTCCCATGAACCACCCGAAAACCAGAAGTGGCACTGTGGCTCAAGGGGTAGAGCACCAGCCTGGAGTGAAAGAGCTCAGGGACAGCGCCCAGGCCCTGAGTTCAAGTCCCACGACCGACCAAAACCATAAAAGCTCTTTCAGAGTACATGGGCTTTATGAGCATGCATCTGATAGCACGATGTAACTTCCATCTCTTGTTTCGTCTTTGAGGATCAAGCGCATGATTTTGCATCTACTGAGGCCAGGGCTCTACTAGCAGGAACTTAACTTTGTGCGTGTGCCCGTGCGTTTACTAGGTCAATGCCCAGCTCTTGCTTTTGCCCAGCATTTTGCTCCTGGTTGGGGGAATGGCCCTCTACCGCTCGAACCACGCCTCCAGTTCGGCATTTTGCTGGGTCATTGGAAATGAGGTCCACTTCTGGCTTTTGTTTTTGCTGGTTCATTCTGGGTTGGTCTGCCTGGGTGACTTCAAAGGTCGATCCTCACAAATCGGCCTCCGGAATGGCTGACAGGCATGAGCCACCAACCCCAGACTTGGGAGTCTCTGGGAGTGAGATTGATGGTTTGGATCACCTCAGTATCTCTACGGGATGAGGGAGGGAAAAACAATGGCTGTAAGAGCACCGACCTGGGAAAACGTGTGGAGAACTTTGTTCTAGAAGTTTCTAGACGTTTCTAGAAGTTTCTAGGGCTGGTCCTCCGTGGCGTAGGCTGACGAAAATGGGTGTTTAAGGTGCTGTTTTGTTTTTAAATTTCCTTTCTTTCTCCAGATTATTCCGTGACGGCCAACTCGAAGATCGTGGTGGTGACAGCGGGTGTTCGGCAGCAGGAGGGAGAGAGCCGGCTGAACCTGGTGCAGAGAAACGTCAACGTCTTCAAATTCATCATCCCTCAGATCGTCAAGTACAGCCCGGAATGTACCATCATCGTGGTCTCGAACCCAGGTACACCCCTCCAGCCCCGGACCCCGGTTCGAGTCCCGCCCGGACCTCTGAGGGAGTCTGGACCTGCAGAGATCATCATCAGGCACCTGTAGCTCACGCCTGTCATCCCAGCTACTCGGGAGGCTGAGATCTAGAGGATCACGGTTCAAAGCCAGCCCGGGCAGGAAGGTCCGTGACACTCTGATCTCTGATGAACCACCACAACAAAAAAGGCTGGAAGCGGAGCTGTGGCTCAAGGGGTAGAGCACCAGACTTGAGAAAACAAAACAAAAACCTCAGTGCCCGAGTCCTGAGTTCAAGCCTCAGGGCAGACAGCAATTAAAAAGAGAGAGAGAAATGTGACGGGTCTGAAGTATTTGAAGGTAGCTTCACTTGAAAGAAAAATATATACTATGTATTGATAATAGATTGGTTGTTTTTGTGTGCTGATCCTGGGTCTTGAACTCAGGGCTTGGGCGCTGAGCTCTTTCGCTCAAGGCTGGCGCTCTACCACCTGAGCCACGGCGCCACTTCTGGTTTTCTGGTAGTTCCTTGGAGATCAGAGTCTCACGGACTTTCCCGCCCCAGGCTGGCTTTGAACCACGATCCTCTAGATCTCAGCCTCCTGAGCAGCTGGGATGACAGGCGGGAGCTACTTAAAATACTCATGTCTGAATATGGAGAGTTGGGTTGAAGGCCTTGGGGGCGTGGCTCAGGCGGCAGAGCACCAGGCAAATGAGGGAAAACATCCAATCATGAGTTCGAATCCTGGTCTCGGACCAATTTAAAAAAAGAAGCTTGGGATTCCAGCAAAGACCTGGCAGTGTCTCAGTACTATTCTTGCTGTAAACGTAGGTTGTGATGTTGTACGTAAATAAACACACACAGGGTCAACAGGGAAGAAGAAGGCTTGTATCTCCGGCAGGTGTCCGCTGACAGATTCTGTCACTTTCTAGATTTAGCTTTGAAGTCTAGCTGTCCAGGAACCCACTTGTTAAGGAGGAGGAATTATCTGGTCCAACATAGTCTTAAAATATCTCAGCCACGGTCCACAGAGGACTGTGACTTTTGTTTTTTCCCCGTGGTGGGACTTGAACTCAGGGCCTGGGCGCTGTCCCTGAGCTCTTTCACTCAAGGCTGGCGCTCTACCACGTGAGCCACAGCGCCACGTCTGGTTTTCTGGTGGTTCATGGGAGATGAGAGTCTCACGGATTTTCCTGCCCTGCTGGCCTCCAACCGCGATCCTCCGACCTCAGCCTCCCGGGTCGCTGGGATGGCCGGCGGGAGCCGCCACGCCTGACTTCACCTGTGTTGTCTTTTTCTTCCTCTCCTCCTCGCCACATCTAGTGGACATTCTCACCTACGTGACCTGGAAGCTAAGCGGTCTGCCCAAGCACCGCGTCATCGGCAGCGGCTGTAATCTGGACTCAGCTCGGTTCCGTTACCTCATGGCTGAAAAGCTTGGCATCCACCCCAGCAGCTGCCACGGGTGGATCCTCGGGGAGCACGGGGACTCCAGCGGTGAGAACTCCCCCAAATCCCAACCACCACCAATGATGATGATGATGATGGTGATGGTGATGATGATGGTGATGATGATGATGGTGATGATGATGATGATGGTGATGATGGTGATGGTGATGATGATGATGATGATGATGATGATGGTGATGATGATGATGATGGTGATGATGATGATGATGGTGATGATGGTGATGATGATGATGGTGATGATGATGATGGTGATGGTGATGATGATGGTGATGGTGATGATGATGATGATGGTGATGATGGTGATGGTGATGATGATGATGGTGATGGTGATGATGATGGTGATGATGATGATGATGGTGATGATGATGATGGTGATGATGGTGATGATGGTGATGATGATGGTGATGATGGTGATGATGATGATGGTGATGGTGATGATGATGGTGATGATGATGATGATGATGGTGATGATGGTCATGATGATGGTGATGATGATGGTGATGATGATGACGATGGTGATGATGGTCGTGATGATGATGATGATGGTGGTGATGATGATGATGATGGTGATGATGATGATGGTGATGATGATGATGACGATGGTGATGATGATGATGACGATGGTGATGATGGTCATGATGATGATGATGATGGTGGTGATGATGATGATGGTGATGATGATGACGATGATGACTGGATGATTATAGTACAGTCATGTCACTCTCAAATGGTTTTGAATTAAAATTTAAATTTTCAGCCCGGTACTGGTAGCTCCCGCCTGTCATCCAAGCCACTCTGAAGGCTGAGATCTGAGGATCACAGTTCAAAGGCAGCCCGGGCAAAAAAGTCCATGAGACTCTTTTATCTGTAGTGAACCAGCAAATCAACTGGACGTGGAGCTGTGGTTCAAGTGGTGGAGCACCAGCCTGGAGCATAAAAGCTCAGGGACAGCGCCCGGGTCCTGAGTTCCAATCCCAGGGCCAAAACAAAACGAAAAAACTTCACAGACTCTGAGCTCTTTCCCTCAAGGCTGGCGCTCTACCGCTTGAGCCACAGCTCCACTTCTGGTTTTCTGGTGACCATTGGAGATAAGTCTCACGGATTTTCCTGCTGGGCTGGCCTTGAACTGCCATCCTCAGATCTCAGCCTCCTGAGTGGCTGGGATGACAGGCGGGAGCCACCAGGGCCTGGTTAAAACCCCTATTCTGACTTCACCTGTCATTGGAGCAGCTGAACCTGCAAAGGGTGGAGGTTCAAAGCCAGCCCGGGAGGACAAATGGAAGAGACGTTCAGCTCCAATCATGCAGCAAAATGCCAGACTGGAGGCCTGGCACAGGTGGTAGAGCGCCAACCGAGTAAGCAAGCTAAGTGAGAGGTGGAAGCATCTAGAATGCTGGTCCTTTCTCTGCCTGCAGTGGCGGTGTGGAGTGGGGTGAACGTGGCAGGCGTGTCGCTCCAGGAGCTGAACCCGGAAATGGGCTCGGACAACGACAGCGAGAACTGGAAGGAAGTGCACAAGATGGTGGTGGAGAGGTGAGCGGAAGGAAGTTTGGTTTGCACTCACTAATCTCCTCTTCCTCTTGTGTTTGCTTCTAGCTGCCTGCTCAGGCCAACTGGAGCTTGAACCCAGGTGCTGGGCGCTGTCCCTGAGCTGCTTTTGCTCAAGGCTGGCGCTCTACCACTTGAGCCACAGCTCCACGTCCGGTTTTCTGGTGGTTCATGGGAGATCAGAGTCTCACGGACTTTCCTGCCCTGGGCTGGCTTTGAACCGTGATCCTCAGATCTCAGCCTCCTGAGTAGCTGGGATGACAGGCGGGAGCCACGGGTGCCCGGATGAATTGTGTCTCCTGGCTTCCTTTACCTATTTGGAAATACAATTATGAATAAATCACCTTGGTTGGGAAAAGGTACTTTTCCCCCATGGTGACTTCACAAATGCTTATAGAGCGAGATACTAGGTCATGGTTGCTGGCTTAGCTCATGGCTGCCGCTTCATTCATTCTACTCCCGCGTCCAGTATCTGGCTCCTAAGACATTTAGGAACTAGGTCTTGATTTTACTTTATTATATTTATTTATTATTTTTTTGTCGAGCGTGGGGCCTGAACTCTGGGCCTGGGCGCTGTCCCTCAGCTCTTCAGCTCCAGGCTGGCGCTCTACCACTTGAACCAACAGTGCCACTTCTGGCTTTTTCTGCTTATGTGGTGCTGAGGACTTGAACCCAGGGCCTCATGCGTGCAAGGCAAGCACTTTACCACTGAGCCACCTTCCCAGCCGTGAGTCTCCATTTTAAAGAGAAGACAGAAGCAGGAAAGAGGAAATAATTTTTTCGCCGGGCACCGGTGGCTCCCGCCTGCCATCCCAGCTCCTCAGGAGGCTGAGATCCGAGGATCGAGATTCAAAGCCAGCCAGGGCAGGAAAGTCCATGAGACTCTTTATCACCAACGAACCACCAGAAAACCGGAAGTGGCGCTGTGGCTCAAGTGGTAGAGCGCCAGCCTGGAGCAAAAGAAGCTCAGGGACAGCGCCCAGGGCCCTGAGTTCAAGCCCCAGGACCGGCACTCAGACTATTCTAAAAGAAAAAAAAAAAATTAGGGTGACAGAGATAGAAAGGGGGGGTCCGACTCAGGGAGTGTGGTTTCAGAGCTGGGATCTGTGCTGTTTTGTCCATTTTCTCCAGCGCCTATGAAGTGATCAAACTGAAAGGCTACACGAACTGGGCCATCGGCCTGAGCGTGGCCGACCTCATTGAATCCATGCTGAAAAACCTCTCCAGGATCCACCCGGTGTCCACCATGGTAAAGGTGAGGCCCGAGCATGCGCCGTGATACTGTGTTCTACACCTAGATCTCAGGCTCTCTGAGCAGATTCCCCTGACCTGGCACTGAGGGGCGGGGCTTGGTCTCATTTGGTTTGGTGACTTTGTTAACAGAAAGCTACAAAGTACATGCACCGGGTAGGAGCAAAGCCATCAGATAATGTTTGGGGGCTTTTCTGGGGGTGTCATGATCATGGATTGACCTGGCTTTTAGGTGTATATATACTAAGATATTTTCAATCCAGAGAGCCTAAGCGTTCATTGAAAGACATTGTTCTTACATTGCTTGTGGTCATAAAAGTCTGAGCTTAAAAGGTTTTCATCAATCCAGAATCCAGACCACTGTCTGCGAGCTTGACTTAAAGGCCAGCCATTTATGAAAATGCACCTGCTTTTCAGAAGTATTAAACTGGCAGCCTTTGCTGTTCATAGCTATAAATGAACGGAATTCAGAATCTATAGTTTTCACTTATGGAATGCAGACTTTTATTCATGGTAACTATTACAACGTGTCTGGAAAATATGGAACAGGGGCGCGCATCTGATATGCTTTGAAAATTCTTCCTCTGAGTCTCATTCCCCGTCTTTTTACACCTTACAATCATTTGCATCACAATAGAAAAACGTGTAACCGTCTGATCGATTCAGATTAGGTTGGTATGTCATCCTTAAAACGTCATAAATGTAGTTCGATTCAAATGTTCTAGAGCAAACATACAAACAAGAAATGGTATTGAAGGAGGCTGAGATCTGAGGATCCTAATTCAAAGCCAGCCCCGGTAGGAAAAAGTCCACGAGACTCTGATCTCCAAGGAACCACCAGAAAACCAGAAGTGGAGCTGTGGTTCAAGTGGTAGAGCACTAGCCTTGAATGCAAAAGCTCGGGGACAGCGCCCAGGCCCTGAGTTCAAGTCCCAGGACCGACAATATAGACAGATTAAGTGTATGCAAGCAGACATCAATATCCAATCAAAACATTTTCAATGAAGTCCAATGGAGCACTTACTAGTTTCTTATAGGTACTTTGAGCAGAGATTTGGTGGGTTTCAAATCTCTCTCTCAACATGGAGTCCAGAGGCTAGATAGACCTTTCTCTTCAAACACACGAGTCATTCTTTTTGGTTGGTAGTGGTGGTCGTGGGATTTGAACTCAGGGCCTGGGGCGCTGTCCCTGAGCTCTTTCACTCAAGGCTGGCGCTCTACCCCTTGAGCCACGGCGCCACCTCCAGCTTTGTGGTGGTTCATGGGAGATCAGAGACTCACAGACTTTCCTGCCCCAGGCTGGCTTTGAACCGCGATCCTCAGATCTCAGCCGAGATGAAAGGCGTGCGCACCAGCGCCCGGCCCAGTCACCCTTCCTCACGGGTTTCCTCGTGTTTTTGCAGGGTATGTACGGCATCGAGAACGAAGTCTTCCTGAGTCTCCCGTGTATCCTCAATGCCCGGGGCCTGACCAGCGTGATCAACCAGAAGCTGAAGGACGAGGAGGTAGCGCAGCTGAAGAACAGCGCAGACACGCTGTGGGCCATCCAGAAAGATCTCAAAGACCTGTGACCCGCCGCGAGCCGCCCGCAGACACTCACAGACTCCGGGGCGCTGAGATCCTCAGCCTCCATCTTTAGCCTCGCCCCCCCCCCCCCCCCCCCCGTCCCCCGAATCGAGTCTGCCTCCTGCTCTCTCCCTGGGCCACGCTCACAAAGCCCACGTACGCGCGTGGGTCCGTGCTTGTATTAGGAGCTCGTGAACAAATAAAATCAGCCGTTCGGGTGTGTGACTTATGGCTGGGGTGTGTTCACCGGCGGTGTCGGAGATTCGCACAATGTCCACGCACGTGTGCTCTGGGAGCCGGGCCCAGTGGCTCCCGCCTGTCATCCCAGCTACTCAGGAGGCTGAGATCGGAGGATCGGGGTTCAAAGCCAGCCCAGGCAGGAAAAGTCTATGACATCTCCAAGGGACCACCAAAAAGCCGGGAGTGGCGCTGTGGTTCAAGTGGTAGAGCGCCAGCCTTGAGCAAAAGAAGCTCAGGGACAGCTCCCAGGCCCCGAGTTCAAGACCCAGAACTGGCAAGGAAAAAAAAGCCATTTGCACCAAAGATGTATATTCCCATTTGCAGATGGGGAAACTGAGGCAAAAGGTACCCTGAGGCTAGAACTTGGGCCTTCCTCCCGGCTTCTAAATTCCTGCTTTCAACCACCGTGTTCTTTTCCGGAATAAGTACATTATTGTCACGTGTGTGTGTGTGTGTGTGTGTGTGTGTGTGTGTGTGTGTGCGCGCGTGCCTGTACTGAGACTTGAACTCAGGGCCCCAAAGGGTTGCTTAGCTTTTTCCCCACAAGGCTGGCACTCTACCACAGCGCCACTTCTGGTTTTCTGGTAGTTCCTTGGAGATCAGAGTCTCACGGACTTTCTTGCCCAGGCTGGCTTTGAACCGTGATCCTCAGATCTCAGCCTCCTGAGTCGCTGGGATGACAGGCGGGAGCCACCAGTGCCAACCTCAATCAATCTTAACGGTCTGTGTTGGCAACGTGAGCCGGCTCTCGTGTGGCGCGTGGAGGGCTGGCAGAGCGAATCTCAAGCTTGTAGATCAGGAATGCTGTCCTCTCTGTCCCTCTGTCCTTGTGTCCTCGGCCACGTGACCAGCTGTGTGCTTCTCTGGGAATGTGTGTTTACAGAGCCTGCCAAGGTCAAGTCAAAACAGATAAAGCATTTCCTTAAAGAGACAGCCATCTGAACAATATGGTCTCCCCTTGCTGTACTTCATGACCAGCCAGATGCCTTGGTGCTCGAAATTCAAATGCATGGAGCCGGGCGCCGGTGGCTCCTGCCTGTCATCCCAGCGACTCTGGAGGCTGAGATCTGAGGATCGAGGTTCAAGGCCAGCCCGGGCAGGAAAGTCCCTGAGACTCTGATCTCCAATGAACCACCAGAAAACCAGAAGTGGCGCTGTGGCTCAAGTGGTAGAGCACCAGCCTTGAGCTGAAGAGCTGAGGGACAGCGCCCAGGCCCCGAGTTCAAGTCCCATGCCCGACAAAAAACAAAATTCAAATGCATGGTAGCTAGTTACGGCATTGGACTTATTATATTTATAGATAAAGATAAGAGTAAAAATGTTAAGGGACTGAAGCAAGCATACTAACTCGTGTGGATTCACATTTTTTAAGGTCTTTCTTCCTTTCCTACCTTCCTCTTTTTTTCCTTCTTCCTTCCATCCCTCCTTCCTTCCTTCTTTTCCTTTTTTTTGTGCTCATCCTAGAGCTTGAACTCAGGGCCTGGGCGCTGTCCCTCAGCTTTTATGCTCAAGGCTGGCGCTTTACCACTTGAGCCACAACAGCACCACTTCCAGTTTTCTGGTGGTTCATGGGAGATCAGAGTCTCACGGAAGCCTTGATCCTCAGATCTCAGCCTCCTGAGTAGCTGGGATTACAGGCGTGAGCCACTGGTGCCTGGCCTCATATAAATTTCTTTTTCTTCTTTCTTTTCTTTTTTCCTTTTCTTTTTTCCAATCCTGGGGCTGGAACTCAGGGTCTGGCGCTTTCTCTTAGCTGGCACGCCACGACTTGAGCCACACACAGTTCTACATCTGGCTTTTTGCTGGTTGATTGGAAATAAGAATCTCATAGACTTTCCTGCCTGGGCTGGTTTTGAACCGTGATCTTCAGGGCTCAGCTTTCTGAGTGGCTGGGATTACAGGCGTGAGCGACTAGTACCTAACTCATACATTTTCAATTTCGGGGGGGGGGGGGGGAGAGGCGGGGGAAAGCAAAGACCTAAATGGGAGACCGTACACCTACCGTCAGGGGAAGATAGAAACCGCCCCCCCCCCCCCAGCCTGTAGAATCGATCTAAAATCCTTGGCGAACTTCCTGGGGTGAATCGAGCGCCCCGTGGCCGTGGGAATGTTGAAATAAGTCCACAGCGTGATCCGGTAGGTGTTTGTTCAAAAGGACAAGGGTATCACGTTCTGACTAGTTCCAGGACGGGCTGTGAATCGCCGGATCTCACTTCGGGACTCTCCCCGGGAGGGATTGGTTGTGATGGATGATAAGTAGACAGCATTTTCTCTACTTCTCCACCCCAGAGAGACACCCACAGAAGGCTGTGAAGTCTTCCTTCCGGGGGGAGATTTTTTGGGGGGAGGAGGGGGAAGTTGAGGGGGGCAGGAGGGGAAGCACATGAGTTTTTATTGTGCTGTTCAGTCCTCCAGAGAAGAGACTAAAGGCAGGCACAGAGCGGCCCGCACTCTCTTGTGTCTGAGTTGGGACAGACAGCGGCGGTTGGAAAGAGCATTCTCAGAAGGGACTACAGGAAGATGCACCGTGGCCGGTCCCTCTCTGTGACATCCCTGGGGGGGCTTCCTCAGTGGGAGCTACCCCAGCTGCCCGTGGAGGAGTTACTGCTGTTTGAAGTCTCCTGGGAAGTAACGAATAAAGGTAGGTGCGGGTGTCAGGCCGCAGCCCTGGGCAGATTCGGAGTCCACAGGCGACTGATTTCCCGCCGGTGGGTGAGGGTAGGGTTCAAACAGCTTACAGGGGTGTAAGTTGGCTGCTGGGGCTGACCTGTGTGTTATGGAGAAGAAAGTAATCCCGGCTACTCAGGAGGCTGAGATCTGAGGATGGTGGTTCAAAGCCAGCCTTGGGCAGGAAAGTCCATGAGACTCTGATCTCCCATGAACCCCCAGAAAACCACAAGTGGTGCTGTGGCTCAAGTGGTAGAGCACCAGCCTTGAATGAAAGAGCTCAGGGACAGCGCCCAGGCCTGGAGTTCAAGACCCAAGACCAGCTTTTTAGGAGCAAATTAAAATAGTAACTCATCTCAGGGAATATGAATTTAAGGTTTAAAAACATTGAAATCTCTCTGATGAAAATATAGAATAAAAATGACACTTTTATGTGTGTCATCATTTTTCTCAGCCGGAAGAACATCATTAAGCACTTTATTTACTTATTTTGGTCGGTCATGGGGCTTGAACTCAGGGCCTGGGCGCTGTCCCTGAGCTCTTCAGCTCAAGGCTGGTGCTCTACCACTTGAGCCACAGTGCCACTTCTGGTTTTCTGGTTGTTCATTGGAGATAAGAGTCTCATGGACTTTCCTGCCCAGGCTGGCTTTGAGCCGGGATCCTTAGATCTCAGCCTTCTGAATAGCTGGGATGACAGGCGGGAGCCACTGGTGCCAGGCTTAAGCATGTTATTGTGGGAGATCTCGGCCAATTAGGAGGTGTACCAGCCATGTACCAGCCGTTGGTGGTTGCTTGAAATATGTGGGCATGCGTCTACATTTTAATTAATTTTGTAATGTTTCTCTGCTTTGCAAATCAGCTTGTGAATGTGATGCCTGTTATTTTATTTATCTAGTTTTGCTGGTTCTGTGGCTTGAACTCAGGGCCTGGGCGCTGTCCCTGAGCTTCTTTGTGCTCAAGGCTAGCGCTTTACCACTTGAGCCACAGAGCCACTTTTTCTGAGTAGTTTATCAGAGATAGGAGTCTCACAGATGTTCCTGTCCAGGTTAGCATAGATCCTTAGATCTCAGCCTCCTGAGTAGCTGGGATTACAGGAGTGAGCTACAGGAGCCCAGCTATATATGTGTGTGTGTATATATATGTATATATACCTATATATGTGTATGTGTATATATATACATGTATACACACACATGCACACACATATATACATATACTAGAATATATCCTATTATATATATCCTGTATATATTTAGGATCTATTCCTACATATGTATTATGTATATATAATATAGATAATATATGTAATTATATGTACACAATATATAGATATATGTACCATACTTATATGTGTATATATAAATGTAACTCTATGTGCATGGGATATATTCTTACATAATATATATGTTATAAAACATATTAATGATACATAATAATAGTATAATAGTATATATTTCTACATATAGATTAGGTACATAATGTATGTAATATATGTCATGTAATACAACAATGTGGGCATATTATTACATTGCATATGTAATATATATTGATAATGCGTAATAATATAACCATTCTACATAGTCCTACATATATATTATATATGTATAATATAATATAATATATATTACATATATGTAATAAATTATGGAATGTATATAATTATATATTGTGCAACACATGGAAAAATATGTGTACATAATATCAAATATATTGTGTATTCATAATATATAAATAATATATATTATATGCAATATATATCAGCTACCTTATAGATATATACCTAATATATATCCCTAACATATGTGTGTGTTTCCTATTGTGTATGTAGGGATAGTGACATGCAACTCTATGCATGTAATCTATAATACATGTAAGGTATATGTAACATATATAGTGTATAAAATGAGAGAGAGGAGAGGGTGATAGAGAGATGGAAGGAAATGGAAGGAGTTGGAGGGAGAGAAAGATACAGAGAGAGAGAATCCTTCTCTTGGTTCATTGTCCATGCTGTACTGCTTAGCGAACGTGAGTTACTGTCCGTAAGTGGACACTGCGGCTTTGAACGCTTGTTGCTCTGGGGGCCTGCTTGCCTGTCTTTTCTTGCTTATGAAAGGCCGTAGACGTCAGCCTCGTGTTGTATCAGGAAAACGTGACTCAGTAAATACAAAGTCCGTGTTTGAAAGCGGAGGTGAAGTGGGAATTCCGGGGCCCACCCTGCGGGAAAACAGGAACTCACTCCTAATATTGACTGAGCGTTTCTCACGCACGTGAGACTAGACTTGCATTAGTGGTTATCTTTGTCCATGTGTTTATTTCTCTGTGCTGGGACTTGAACTCAGGGCCATGTGCACTCACTTGGCTTTTTCTTCTCAGGGGGAGGGCATTCCCTGAGAACCACAGCTCTACCTCTGGCTTTTGCTGGTTGTTGTTGTTGTCGGTGGTGGGTCTTGAACTCAGGGCCTGGGCACTGTCCCTGAGCTCTTTCACTCCAGGCTGGTGCTCTACCACTTGAGCCACAGCGTCACTTCTGGTTTTCTGGTGGTTCATTGGAGATGAGTGTCTCACAGACTTTCCTGCCCGGGCTGGCCTTGAACTGTGATCCTCAGATCTCAGCCTCCAGAGTAGCTGGGATGACAGGTGTGAGCCACTGGGCACTGGACTAGAATTGCATTTATATATAGATTTAAAATACAGGTGTTGGTGGACTTTTCTGGTTTATACACCAAATCTGAAGGTGGGAATGGTGCCATACTGTGCCAAGAGAGAAGTTTGGTGAGCCTTCCTGGCACTAGTGTTTCCTATACCCAGTTAAAGCACAGTTAAAGAGTTAAATAAACTGGGCTGGGCAGGTGGCTCAGTGGTAGAGCGCTCACCTAGCATGCATGAGGCCCTGGGTTCGATTCCTCAGCGCCACATACACAGAAAAAGTCGGAAGTGGCGCTGTGGCTCAAGTGGTAGAGCGCTAGCCTTGAGCAACAAAAGTTCAGGGACAGTGCCCAGGCCCTGAGTTCAAGGCCCACAACTGACAAAAAACAAATCATTTACAAGAAGTTAGTAAGCCGGGCGCCGGTGGCTCCCGCCTGTCATCCCAGCGACTCAGGAGGCTGAGTCTGAGGCTCACGGTTCAAAGCCAGCCTGGGCAGGAAAGTCCGTAAGACTCTTCTCTCCAATGAACCACCAGCAAGCCAGAAGTGGCGCTGTGGCTCAAGTGGTAGAGCGCCAGCCTTGAGGGAAAGAGCTCAGGGACAGTGCCCAGGCCCTGAGTTCAAATTCTAGTACTACCAAACCCACAAAAACCCCCAAACCCTAAATATCTCAGAGGGGAAATTAAAAAGAACAACCCCCAAACCATAGGTATAAAGACATCTATCGTAGCATTATGACGGCCAGAGCTGGATGGATAAGAATGTTCCTGGGGGGGGGGGAGGGGATTTAATAAGCCACAGGATCCCTGACTCTCCCCTCCTGGTTGCAGTGGGTGGCATCTACACGGTGATCCAGACCAAGGCCAAGACCACGGCGGATGAGTGGGGAGAGAATTACTTCCTGATCGGCCCGTACTTTGAGCACAACATGAAGACCCAGGTCGAGGCCTGTGAACCCCTCAACGAGGCGGTCCGGGGAGCCGTGGAGACCATGAACAAGCATGGCTGCCAGGTACCGGGTTCAAGGATCCCCCCCCATACCCACCTGGGGAGAGCTGGGGAGAGCTGTCCAGGAGGAGTTAGACAGTAGCTGGGCGTGGTGGCTCCCGCCTGTAATCCCAGCTGACTCCGGAGATGGACACGAGAGACTTCATAGCTCCGTACCCACTGGGGCAAAAGAAAAGCAGTTGGTGAGACCCCATGGCTCTGATGAGACTAGAAAGCCCCCCCAAAACGACAGGCCGGGTATGATGATACACACCTACCACCCCGGCTCCTTGGGGGAAAGGGACACAAGGAGGATCGCAGTCCAGGGCCAATCTAGGCCTGAAAGACCTGCTCTGCTTGGGCTTCTCTGCTCCCACACCTTGAGCCACAGGGTCACTGGAGATCCAGGCTGGCTTTGAACTGTGATCCTCAGAGCTCAGCCTCCTGACCAACCCTTGAGAAACCATTGGCAAAGGAGGACTGGCTGACTTGGGGCGGGGGAGCTTAGTCTGCCACAGGGAGATCTCCATGGCTTTTAGGGTCGGGCGGGGTAGGATAGCCTGGTGGCAGGCAGTGTGGGGACAGAAAGGGCCTAGGCTGCTGAGATAGCCCCTTGAAAGTGAGGCTGCAGGCCCACGGCCAGGCCCTGCTGTGAGGCCTCACTTCCGGGAAGCCCGACCCTCTGGGAAAGGATTCACCCAGGACGTCAGCGCCCGCTGGATCCAATCACCGCTCAGAGCTGTGCGCACACTAGCTGGTGTGTGTCTGTGTGTGTGTGACTCTCCCAGCTGGGTGTGTGTGTGACTCTCCCAGCTGGGGGTGTGTGAATCTCCTAGCTGGGGGTGTGTGAATCTCCCAGCTGGGTGTGTGTGTAGGTGTGTGGGTGTGGGTCTGTGTGTGTAGGTGTGTGTGTGAATCTCCCAGCTGGGTGTGTGTGTGAATCTCCCAGCTGGGTGTGTATGTGTGTGTAAATCTCCTAGCTGAGTGTGTGTGAATCTCCCAGCTGGGTGTGTGTGAATCTCCCAGCTGGGTGTGTGTGTAGGCGTGTGGGTGTGAATCTCGTAGCTGTGTGTGTGTGAATCTCCCAGCTGGGTGTGTGTGTAGGCGTGTGGGTGTGAATCTCGTAGCTGTGTGTGTGCGAATCTCCCAGCTGGGTGTGTCTTTGTGACTCTCTCAGCTGTGTGTGCATCTCATAGGTGTGTGTGTGGGTATGTGTGACTCCTAGCTGTGTGGGTGTGTGACTCCTGTGTGTGTAGGTGTGTGTGTGTGTGTGAGTCTCCCAGCTGGGTGTGTGTGTGTGAACCTCCCAGCTGGGTGTGTGTGTGTGAACCTCCCAGCTGGGGGTGTGTAGGTGTGTGTGAATGTGCACAGGTGTGTATAGGGGTGTGTAGGTGTGTGTGTGTGTGTGAATCTCCCAGCTGGGTGTGTGTGTGTGAATCACCCAGCTGGGTGTGTGTGTGTGTGAATCGCCCAGCTGGGTGTGTGTGTGTGAACCTCCCAGCTGGGTGTGTGTGTGTGAACCTCCCAGCTGGGTGTGTGTGTGTGAATCTCCCAGCTGGGGGTGTGTAGGTGTGTGTGAATGTGCACAGGTGTGTATAGGGGTGTGTAGGTGTGTGTGTGTGTGTGTGTGTGAATCGCCCAGCTGGGTGTGTGTGTGTGTGAGAATCGCCCAGCTGGGTGTGTGTGTGTAGGTGTGTGTGTGTGTGCAGGTGTGTATAGGGGTGTGTATGTGTGTGTGTGTGAATCTCCCAGCTGGGTGTGTGTGTGTGTGAATCTCCCAGCTGGGTGTGTGTGTAGGTGTGTGTGTGTGTGCAGGTGTGTATAGGGGTGTGTAGGTGTGTGTGTGTGTGTGTGAATCGCCCAGCTGGGTGTGTGTGTGTGTGAATCTCCCAGCTGGGTGTGTGTGTAGGGTGTGTGTGTGTGTGCAGGTGTGTATAGGGGTGTGTAGGTGTGTGTGTGTGTGAATCTCCCAGCTGGGTGTGTGTAGGTGTGTGTGTGTGTGCAGGTGTGTATAGGGGTGTGTAGGCGTGTGTGTGTGTGTGAATCGCCCAGCTGGGTGTGTGTGTATAGGTGTGTGTGTGCAGGTGTGTACAGGGGTGTGTAGGTGTGTGCAGCTGTGTGTGTGTGTGTGTGTGTGAATCTCCCGGCCCACCAGACTCTTCCTGGGTAGCGGGTTCCTGTGCGTCCGCCCTGCTGGCTCAGTCGGTGCTTGTATTTTATTATTATTGTTGTTGTTGTTGACCTGAGCTCGGTGTCAGCGGAGGTGGGGGAGGGGTGGGAGGGGGGATGTGGGGGAGGGTGGGGGGTGGGAGGGAGGGGGGATGTGGGGGAGGGTGGGGGGTGGGAGGGAGGGGGGATGTGGGGGAGGTGAGGGGTGGGAGGGGGTGTGGGGGAGGGTGGGGGGTGGGAGGGAGGGGGGATGTGGGGGAGGGTGGGGGGTGGGAGGGAGGGGGGATGTGGGGGAGGGTGGGGGGTGGGAGGGAGGGGGGATGTGGGGGAGGTGAGGGGTGGGAGGGGGGATGTGGGGGAGGGTGGGGGGTGGGAGGGAGGGGGGATGTGGGGGAGGGTGGGGGGTGGGAGGGAGGGGGATGTGGGGGAGGGTGGGGGGTGGGAGGGAGGGGGGATGTGGGGGAGGGTGGGGGGTGGGTGGGAGGGTGATGTGGGGGAGGTGAGGGGTGGGAGGGGGTGTGGGGGAGGGTGGGGGGTGGGTGGGAGGGTGATGTGGGGGAGGTGAGGGGTGGGAGGGGGGATGTGGGGGAGGGTGGGGGTGGAGGGAGGGGGGATGTGGGGGAGGGTGGGGGTGGAGGGAGGGGGGATGTGGGGGAGGTGGGGGAGGGGGGGAGGGGGGATGTGGGGGAGGGTGGGGGTGGAGGGAGGGGGGAGGTGGGGGTGGAGGGAGGGGGGATGTGGGGGAGGTGGGGGAGGGAGGGAGGGGGGATGTGGGGGAGGGTGGGGGTGGAGGGAGGGGGGATGTGGGGGAGGGTGGGGGTGGAGGGAGGGGGGGTGTGGGGGAGGTGGGGGAGGGGGGGAGGGGGGATGTGGGGGAGGGTGGGGGTGGGAGGGAGGGGGGACGTGGGGGAGGGTGGGGGTGGAGGGAGGGGGGAGGGTGGGGGAGGGGGGGAGGGGGATGTGGGGGAGGGTGGGGGTGGAGGGAGGGGGATGTGGGGGGAGGGTGGGGTAGGGGGGTAGGGGGGATGTGGGGGAGGTGGGGGTGGAGGGAGGGGGATGTGGGGGAGGGTGGGGGTGGAGGGAGGGGGGATGTGGGGGAGGTGGGGGAGGGGGGTAGGGGGGATGTGGGGGAGGTGGGGGTGGAGGGAGGGGGGATGTGGGGGAGGGTGGGAGGGAGGGGGGATGTGGGGGAGGGTGGGAGGGAGGGGGATGTGGGGGAGGGGGGGAGGGGGGGAGGGGGGATGTGGGGGAGGGTGGGGGTGGGAGGGAGGGGGGACGTGGGGGAGGGTGGGGGTGGAGGGAGGGGGGACGTGGGGGAGGGTGGGGGTGGAGGGAGGGGGGATGTGGGGGAGGTGGGGGTGGAGGGAGGGGGGATGTGGGGGAGGTGGGGGTGGAGGGAGGGGGGATGTGGGGGAGGGTGGGGGTGGAGGGAGGGGGGATGTGGGGGAGGGTGGGGGTGGGAGGGAGGGGGGATGTGGGGGAGGGTGGGGTGGGAGGGGGATGTGGGGGAGGGTGGGGGTGGGGGGAGGGGGATGTGGGGGAGGGGGGGAGGGGGGGAGGGGGGATGTGGGGGAGGGTGGGGGTGGAGGGAGGGGGGATGTGGGGGAGGGTGGGGTGGGAGGGGGATGTGGGGGAGGGTGGGGGTGGGGGGAGGGGGATGTGGGGGAGGGGGGGAGGGGGGGAGGGGGGATGTGGGGGAGGGTGGGTGTGGAGGGAGGGGGGATGTGGGGGAGGGTGGGGGTGGGAGGGAGGGGGGATGTGGGGGAGGGTGGGAGGGAGGGGGGATGTGGGGGAGGGTGGGAGGGAGGGGGATGTGGGGGAGGGGGGGGTGGGAGGGAGGGGGGACGTGGGGGAGGGTGGGGGTGGAGGGAGGGGGGATGTGGGGGAGGTGGGGGTGGAGGAGGGGGGATGTGGGGGAGGTGGGGGTGGAGGGAGGGGGGATGTGGGGGAGGGTGGGGGTGGAGGGAGGGGGGATGTGGGGGAGGGTGGGGGTGGGAGGGAGGGGGGATGTGGGGGAGGGTGGGGTGGGAGGGGGATGTGGGGGAGGGTGGGGGTGGGGGGAGGGGGATGTGGGGGAGGGGGGGAGGGGGGGAGGGGGGACGTGGGGGAGGGTGGGGGTGGAGGGAGGTGGGAGCCGGGGGAGCTGGAGCGGCTTCGGCCCCCTCACCCCCGCGCGGCCCGCAGGTGCGCTTCGGCCGCTGGCTGGTGGAGGGCAGCCCGTGCGTGGTGCTCTTCGACCTGGGCTCGTCCGCCTGGAACCTGGACCGCTGGCGCGGCGACCTGTGGGAGGCGTGCGGCGTGGGGCTCCCGCAGCACGACGCCGAGGCGGGCGACGTGCTCATCTTCGGCTCGCTCACCGCCTGGTTCCTGCAGGAGGTCGGCTGCGCGCGCACAGGGGGCGGGGCGGGGGCGGGGCCGGGGGCGGGGCCGGGGGCGGGGCCGGGGCGGGGGCGGGGCCGGGGCGGGGCGGGGGCGGGGCCGGGGCGGGCGACGTGCTCATCTTCGGCTCGCTCACCGCCTGGTTCCTGCAGGAGGTCGGCTGCGCGCGCACAGGGGGCGGGGCGGGGGCGGGGCCGGGGCGGGGCGGGGGCGGGGCCGGGGCGGGCGACGTGCTCATCTTCGGCTCGCTCACCGCCTGGTTCCTGCAGGAGGTCGGCTGCGCGCAGGGGGGCGGGGCCGAGGCGGGGGAGCGGAGGCGGGGCCTGGGGCGGGGCCGGAGAGCCGGGGGCGTGGCCGTGGCGGAGGGGAGCAGACAGCAGCCCCTTCCACTTCCTCCCTCCTTCCCTCCCTTCATCCTCTCCTCTCTCCACCCGCCCCCCCCCCCGCAGGTGACGGAGCGCGCGGCCCGCCCCGTCGTGGCGCACTTCCACGAGTGGCAGGCGGGCGCGGGGCTGGTGCTCTGCCGCGCGCGGCGGCTGCGGCTGGGCTCGGTGTTCACCACGCACGCCACGCTGCTGGGCCGGCACCTGTGCGCCGCCAGCGCCGACTTCTACAACCGCCTGCGCCAGGTGCGGCTGGGGCCGGGGCCCGGGAGGGGCGGGGCCCGGGAGGGGCGGGGCCCGGGAGGGGCGGGGCCCGGGAGGGGCGGGGCCCGGGCGGGGCGGGGCCTGGGCGGGGCGGGGCCTGGGCAGGGCTGGGCTCTGGATGGGGCTGGCCGGGGCGGGGCTGGGGCCTGGATGGGGATGACCGGGGGCGGGGCCTGTGTGGGGCGGGGCTTGTGAGGGGCGGGGCCTGGGGGAGGGTGGGCGGAGGGGGGCCAGGGCCTGTGAGGGGCGGGGCCTTGGCGGGGGGCGGGGCTGGGGCCTGGATGGGGCTGGCCGGGGGCGGGGCCTGGAAGGGGCGGGGCCTGGATGGGGTTGGTCGGGGCGGGGCCTGGGAGGGGCGGGGCTTGGATTGGGCTGGGCGGGGCCTGTGAGGGGCGGGGCTTGGGCGGGGCCAGGGACGCGCTGGCGTTTGCTGTCCTGGGTGAAGGGCCGGCCACCAGGGTTCAGCTGGGCTCTGGAACCTTCTGAGGGCCGGTGCGGGGAGGGGGGATGGGGGGGGGTGGGGAGGGGTTGTCCCCGGGCGGAGCCTGGCGGGGCCCAGGGCCCGGGAATGACGCACGCACGCACGCGCGCGCGTGTTCCCGCAGTTCGACGTGGACAAGGAGGCCGGGGAGAGGCAGATCTACCACCGGTACTGCATCGAGCGGGCCTCCGTCCACTGCGCCCACGTCTTCACCACCGTGTCCGACATCACCGCCACCGAGGCCGAGCACATCCTGAAGCGGAAGCCGGGTACGGCTCGCCCCTCGTTTTGTGCCGCCCGTCTCTGCGATCTGCGTGACCATCCAACATCCACTGTCACTTTCCTTGTGTGTCTGTGGTGGGACTTGAACTCGGGGCCTGGGCGCCGTCCCTGAGCTCCTTCACTCCAGGCTGGTGCTCTACCATCTGAGCCACGGCGCCACGTCCGGTTTGCTGGTGGTTCATGGGAGATCACAGTCTCACGGACTTTCCTGCCCGGCTGGCTTTGAACCCTGATCCCCAGATCTCACCCCCTCCCCCCCCCCACACACACACAGGAGAATGTTCCTGGTTTGGCTCTGCTCTTTACAGACGTAGTGACGCCCAATGGCTTGAGTGTGAAGAGGTTTTCAGCCGTGCACGAGTTTCAAAACCTACACGCCATGTACAAGGCCCGGATCCAAGACTTCGTGCGAGGTCATTTCTATGGGTAGGTTCTCCTCTACTTAAAAACATAATCACGAGGGCTGGGCAGGTGGCTCAGTGGTAGAGCACCCGCCTTGCATGCACGAGGCCCTGGGTTCGATGCCTCAGCACCCCATAAGCAGAAAAAGCCAGAAGTGGTGCTGTGGCTCAAGTGGTAGAGCGCCTGCCTTGAGCTGAAGAGCTCGGGGACAGCGCCCAGGCCCAGAGTTCAAGCCCCACGACCGACCAAAAAAACAAAAGGTCATGAAGAAAAAGAAAGTATAACCAGGCACCAGTAGCTCCCACCTGTCATCCCAGCTGCTCAGGAGGCTGAGATCTGAGGATCACAGTTCAAAGCCAGCCCGGGCAGGAAAGTCCGTGAGACTCTGATCTCCAATGAACCACCAACAAGCCAGAAGTGGTGCTGTGATTCAAGGGGTAGAGCACCAGCCATGAATGAAAGAGCTCAGGGACAGCGCCCAGGCCCTGAGTTCAAGACCCAGGACGGACCCACATCTAGAAAACAAGAATCATCAGGTGATAGTTTTCCAGATCTTTCAAGAAAGGAAGGAACACCAGGACTTGCTAGGATCCCTGCTCACGTTGAACTGTCCCGGGAAATGCACCGGGTTTGGTTCCTTGCATTGGAAATGATCGCCCTGCTTGGTTTCAGTCATCTGGACTTCGATCTCGAGAAGACTTTATTCCTCTTCATTGCCGGGCGGTACGAGTTCTCCAACAAAGGGGCCGACATCTTGCTAGAATCTTTATCCAGGCTCAATTTTCTCCTCAAGGTAAGAAAAACTCCAGGCACCCACGCTTACACCTGTCATCCCAGCTACCCTGGAGGCTGAGACCTGAGGATCGTGGTTGGAGCCAGCATGGGCAGGAAAGTCTGTGAGACTCTGATCTCCAATGATCCACCAAAAGAAAGCCAGAAGTGGTGCTGTGGCTCAGGTGGTAGAGCACCAGCCTTGAGCTGAAGAGCTCAGGAACAGCGCCCAAGCCCTGAGTTCAAGCCCCACAACCAACAAATAAAAGTCCTGGGGTGACGCGTGCATTTATCTTCGTCTCTGTTGAGTTTCTGGTCTCTCTTCAGCTGCATAAAAGCAACGTCACAGTCGTGGTGTTCTTCATCATGCCCGCCAAGACCAACAACTTCAACGTGGAGACACTAAGAGGACAAGCCGTGAGGAAGCAGCTATGGTAATCTCAACACATCTAGAACATTCTACTGGGAGAAATGCAAAGGGAAAGGGGCTGGGCAGGTGGCTCAGTGGTAGAGCGCTCACCTTGCATGCCTGAGGCCCTGGGTTTGAGTGCTCAGTACCACATTCACAGAAAAAGCCAGGAGTGGTGCTGTGGATCAGGTGGTAGAGCGCCAGCCTTGAGCAAAAAGCAGCTCAGGAACAGCGCCCAGGCTCTGAGTTCAAGCCCCAGGACTGGCAAACACAAATGCAAAGGGGTTTTCTGGTTGGCTTGTTTTCTTGCAGGGCGGGGGATTGAACTCAGGGCCTTGGCTCGCGCTGCGTTCTCAACACGAGGCTGTTCGTCTTGAAGTTGCACCATCTGTGATCTCTCTCCTTGACCGTTGTTGTTTGTCTCAGGATTGTTTCTACCATAAATCCTTTGAACTCAGGGCCTGGGCGCCGTCCCTGAGCTCTTTCACTCAAGGCTGGCGCTCTACCACTTGAGCCACAGCTCTACTTCCGGTTTTCTGGTGGTTCATGGGAGATCAGAGTCTCACGGACTTTCCTGCCCAGGCTGGCTTTGAACCACGATCCTCAGATCTCAGCCTCCTGAGTAGCTGGGATGACAGGCAGGAGCCACCAGCGCCTGGCATCTTTCCATCTTTTTTGTGTGTGTGTTTTTTTTTTAAACTCTTGGTGGGAATTGAACTCAGGACCTTCGCCCTGCCCACCTCCCATTCTGTCGCTCTTTAATGTGTTCTTCGGGTAGGGTCTCTCCCCAGAACTCCGGGGTGGCCGGGACTACAGGCGTATGCAACCGGGCGCAGCCCTAGGATTTTTTATGATTGTTGTAAATTTGCCACAGGGACACGGCGCACACCATGAAGGAGAAGTTTGGAAAGAAGCTGTACGACGCGCTGCTGAGGTGAGTGCTCGGGGCATGCCGGGCTTGGTCCTCCGCTCCCTCTGGGGCGGGTTCAAGGTCAGCGGCCGCCGGCTCACCACCGGTGCATGCATGAATCTGCAGCCAGGGGAGATGCTGGAGGCCAAATGCATGGTTATTGGCAGTGCTGTGCTGCTCGGGCAGCGTGCATTCAATCTACATCCACATCGTCACCAGTACCTTAAATAATATCGCCTTACTTTCAACAGTTATTATCATTACTATTGTTATGATTCGGCTGGTCCTGGGGCTTGAACTCAGGGCCTGGGCGCTGTCCCTGAGCTTCTTTGGCTCAAGGCCGGCACTCTACCACTTGAGCCACAGCGCCACTTTTTGGCTCTTTCTGTGATTCACTGGAGACGGGAATCTTAGGGACTTGGCTGCCGGGGTTGGCCTTGAACCCGCGATCGTCAGGTCTCAGCCTCCTGAGTGTCTGGGATGACAGGCGTGAACCCCCCCACCCCCCACAGTGTAGTAATGATTTTACATTCTAGCACGGTTTATCTTTGAAGATGTGAACTCTAGAACACATGTGCAGCACCAGGCAAGCATGGCCTTAGTACCAGCCGCTCGGGGGCGTTTTTGTTTAATTGTAGAGGAGAGATTCCTGATATGGAGACCATTTTGGATCGAGATGACCTGACCATCATGAAAAGGGCCATCTTTTCAACTCAGGTGAGAGACAGACACAGAGAGACAGACAGACAGACAGACAGACAGAGACAGACAGACAGAGACAGAGACAGAGACATAAACCAAAGCACTTTTAGGTTGGAGAGAAAACAATAAGATCTCACAGAGTCACCCCAGCAGCTTGGTTCTTTCTGGAAAGGGAAGTTTTTCTGGGCTGCTTTTATTTATTTATTACTTATTTATTTTGCCAGTCCTGGGCCTTGAACTCTGGGCCTGGGCGCTGTCCCTCAGCTCTTTAGCTCAAGGCTGGTGAGCTACCACTTGAGCCACAGCGCCACTTCTGGCTTTTTCTGTGTGTGTGGGGCTGAGGACTCGAACCCAGGGCCTCATGCCTGCGAGGCGAGCGCTCTACCACGGAGCCACCTGCCCAGCCCCCATCGGGCTGCGTTTAACTGTGTCTTCACACCTGTCTTTGCGTCTCTCGACAGAGTGTGTGTTGAGCTCATATATCTTGTTGGAAAACAACAATAACAAAACCGTGTACATTGTAATCAAGCAAATCTTCTAGATTGTTCCAAAGACATAGAATGTGTATGAAATGGGTGTGGGCCTAAATAATAATGATAAATATTACTATAATCTATATATTATTATTTTATCTATCAAACAATATACATTTATATTATACATCTTTATATGTTATTATACACTGTATTATATATGTTTATAATGATATAATTATATATAATGTATTTTGTGCGTTTATAATTATATATATAATCATATATTGTAATTGCATAATTCTATGGTAATGATTCTTCTGCGGCTGGTGCTGGACTTGAACTCGGGCCTCGCGCTCTTGCTCAGCCGTTTTGCTTAGTAGCTGGCGTTTGCCCTGGGGGAGGAAAGGCCCGCGGGAGGCTCTGCGCCTGCGCCCTGCACTCCCCGCGCCTGCGTCCTGCGCTCAGTGCTTGGGCCTTGTGCTTCCCCGCGCCTGCGCACTGCACTCCCCGCGCCTGCGCCCTGCACACCACGTGCCTGCGCCGTGCGCTCCGCCTGCGCCCTGCACTCCCCGCGCCTGCGCATTGTGCTCCCCTGCGCCTGCGCCGTGCGCTCCCCGCGCCTGCGCCGTGGCCCCAGCCCCTCCTGCCCCCCCCCCCCCCCAGCGCCAGTCCCTGCCGCCGGTGACCACGCACAACATGATGGACGACGCCTCGGACCCCATCCTCAGCACCATCCGCAGGCTCGGCCTCTTCAACCACCGCGCCGACCGCGTGAAGGTGAGCGCGGCCCCCGCCAGCACGCGCCGTGCGACCGTGCCACGCAGTGCGACCGCGCACCTGCAAGCAGTGTGCACGCGCGCCGTGCAACGTGCCGTGCACACGCAGTGCAACCACACACACGCACCCTGCAGCAGTGTGCACACGCACCGTGCAACCGTGCAACGCAGTGTGCAACCGCACACACGCACCGTGCAACCATGGGCACACGCACCGTGCAACCGCACACGCACAGGGCAACCGTGTGCACACGCACCGTGCAACCGTGCAACGCAGTGTGCAACCACACACACGCACCCTGCAGCAGTGTGCACACGCACCGTGCAACCGTGCAACGCAGTGTGCAACCGCACACACGCACCGTGCAACCATGGGCACACGCACCGTGCAAACCGCACACGCACAGGGCAACCATGTGCACACGCACCATGCAATCGCACACGCACCGTGAAACTGCACACGCACCATGCAACTGTGCACAAGCACCGTGCAACGCATCGTGCAACCGCACACGCACAGGGCAACCGTGTGCACACGCAGTGCAACCGCACACCTGCACCGTGCTACCACGCACACGCGCAGTGCACACAGCGAATGCACGCACAGCACAACCCCATGTGCACACTAGCGCCGCTCACGCCGCAGCTGCCCGGCCTGAGTCCCGGGCACGCACAGGAGACGTGGCGCGTCCATTCGCACGCCTGGAAGCGGGGCTCCCCGCACGCCTTGCACGTCCTGCTCACACTGGCCACGGCCCTTTCCCAGCCCTGCGCGGGCTCGAGCGGCACTGACTGCGAATCCATTGCGGAAGCCTCGGGGCCTGGCCTGGGTTACAACGCCTTCCACCCGTGTCCGTCTGTCTGCCAGCCAACCGTCCGTCCATCCATCTATCTGCTGGTCATTGTTCGCCTCACTCTCTCCCCATTCCATCGTATTTGTTCGCCTTCTCCTCCAGCTTGTTTGTCTCCCGTTCAATCATCTCTGTTCTGTGTGTCATCTACCGTCTGCCATCTGTCCACACAGCCTAAAACGAATCTACCTGTCAGTCTGTCTGTCAGTCTGTGTGTCAATCTGTCTGTCTGCCCATCTGTTTATCTATCTACCTGTCTGTGGATCTACCTGCCTGACTGTCTGTCTGTGTGGATCTATCTACCTGTCTGTCTATCTAGCTATCTATCTGTCTATCTGTCTGTCTGTCTGCCTGCCTGCTTGCCTCCCTATCTACCTGTCAATCTATCTGTCTGTCTGTCTGTCTGTGTGCCAATCTGTCTATCTGTCTGTTTGTCTGCCCATCTGTTTTTCTATCTACCTGTCTGTGGATCTATCTGCCTGTCTGTCTGTCTACTATCTGTCTGTCTGTCTGTCTGCCTCCCTGTCCATCTGTCTATCTACCTGTCTGTTGATCTATCTATCTACCTCCCTATCTGTCTATCTATCTATTATCTATCTATCTACCTACCTACCTGTCTGAGGATCTATCTATCTACCTCTCTCTCTCTGTGTGTGTTGATCTACCTGTCTGTCTGTCTATCTATCTATCTATCTATATCTGTCTGCCTGTCCATCTGTCTGTCTATCCGTCTACCTATTTATCTATCTACTTGTCTATCTATCCATCTATCTCTGTCTGTCTACCTGTCTATCTATTGATCAATCGATCGATCTAATCTATCGTTATTTATCTCCCTATTCTACCAGTATATTTTTTATATCTACCCATTCCATCTAATCTAATTACCTCTCTGTCTACTCTATCTATGGATCATCTATCTATCATCTATCCACACCTGCCTGGAACGAATCTACCTAGTCTATCCATCCATCCATGGTCTACCTGTCCATCTGTCTGTCCTTCCATCTGTCTGTCCATGTACCTACTTCCCTGCGTCCGTGTTAGTTTGAAGCCAGGGCCTTACTCTTTCTGCTTTAGCTTTGTCGGGCCCTGCCACTCGAGCCTCGGCTTCCCTGCCTGCTTTTTGCTGAGAGTTGTTCGCCCGGGGTCGGCTTTGAACCGGGGAACTCAGATCTCCAAGGGAGGGGCGGGGGAGGGGAGGGTTTGTCCCTCTGTCTGTCCCTCCCTCTTCCCACACTGCTGTGGGATGTCAGGCAGCAAATCCTGGGGGGGGGGCGCGTTCCCGCCCTCCCAGCCCCCCCTCACCGGGCCATTCCTCTAGGTGATTCTGCACCCCGAGTTCCTGTCTTCCACCAGCCCCTTGCTGCCCATGGACTACGAGGAGTTTGTGCGGGGCTGCCATCTGGGGGTGTTCCCCTCCTACTACGAGCCCTGGGGGTACACTCCCGGTACGTGCCTGCCTGGAACGTTCTAGACCTGTGTGTGCTCCTGGGCGCAGGAGCATCAAGCGAAGGTGGCCGGGGCTTTGATTTGTTAGTTTGATTTCTCTTGCTCCCTCCCTCCCTCCCTCCCTTCCTCCCTCTCTCCCTCCCTCCCTCCCTCCCCTCTTCCTTCCTTCCTTCTCTCCTTCCCTCCTCTCTTCCCTCCCTTCCCCCTTCCTTCCTTCCTTCCTTCCTTCCTTCCTTCCTTCCTTCCTTCCTTCCTTCCTTCCTTCTTTCCTTCCTTCCTTCCTTCCTTCCCTCCTCTCTTCCCTCCCTCCCTCCCTCCCTCCCTCCCCCTCCCTTCCTTTCTTCCTTCCTTCCTTCCCTCCTTCCTTCCTTCCTCCCTCCCCCTTCCTTCCCTCCTTCCTTCCTTCCTTCCTTCCTTCCTTCCTTCCTTCCTTCCTCCCTCCCTCCTTTCCTTCCTTCCTTCCTTCCTTTCTTCCTTCCTTCCTTCCTTCCTTCCTTCCCTCTCCCTCCTCCCTCTCTTCCTTCCTTCTGTCTCTTCATCTATCTATTCATCTATCTACTCACCTACTTCTCTGTCTATCTGTCTGTCTGTCTGTCTGTCAGTACTAAGCTTTGAGCTCAGGGCCTCGCGCACGCGCGCTCGGTGTGTTATCGCTAGAGCCATGCCTCGTTGTGCGGTCATTTCTCCCATGAGAGATCTCGTGTGCTCTCGCCTGGACTGACCCAGACTGTGAACCTCCTCTTCCGGCGTCTCTCCCGGTGAGGGTGACAGGCTGGTGGCCTCCAGGCCGGCTTGACACTGGCGGAGATGGGGGTGGGGAGGGATGTCTCTCCAACGTTCGTTTTCTGTAGGCTGGCCTTGAACCAGGATCCTCCTCATCTTGGCCTCCTGAGTGGCTCGATGACAGGCATGCGCTACTGTGCCTGGCTGAAAGCATTCTAGGTAAAAATTAACACAATAGCCGGGTGCCGTGGCTCCCGCCTGTCATCCCAGCGACTCAGGAGGCTGAGATCTGAGGATCCCAGTTCAAAGCCAGCCTGGGCAGGAAAGTCCGTGAGACTCTGATCTCCAAGGAACCACCAGAAAACCGGACGTGGCGCTGTGGCTCAAGTGGTAGAGCGCCCGCCTTGAGCACGAATGCTTGGGGGGGCGTCTGGGGCTGCACGGGGGTTTGGGGTGCTGCTCTGACGCTGAGCCTCTCTGTTTGCTGCAGCCGAGTGCACGGTGATGGGCATTCCCAGCGTGACCACCAACCTCTCCGGCTTCGGCTGCTTCATTCAGGAGCACGTGGCCGACCCGGCTGCCTACGGTGAGATCTGTCACCCGTCAGTGTTGTCGGGGACACCGGGCCTCACACCACACGGAAGCCTGCCACCCAGAGCCTGTCCCCAGAGCTCAGCGGAGGCGTGCAGCCCAGCAGACCCAACCGAGCCCTGCGCCGGGGGCTCCTGCCTGCCATCCCAGCTGCTCAGGAGGCTGAGTGCTGAGGATCGCAGTCGGAGGCCAGCCCGGGCAGGAAAGTCTGTGAGACTCTGATCTCCAACGCACCAGCAAAAAGCCGGACGTGGCGCTGTGGCTCAAGCGGTCTTGAGTGGAAAAACAAATCTCAGGGAGAGTGCTAGAAAACACAATGGTACTCAGGGCCTACCAGGAGAATCTGGTTAGTGAACATCCCATGGAGGGGGGTCTGTCTGTCTGTCTGTCCGTCTCTCCATGCTGATCCTCAGGCTTGGACTCCAGGTCCCGGGAGAGCTGACCCCCAGCTTCTGGGCTCAGGCCTGGCTGGCGCTCTGCCCCTTGAGCCACAGCTCCACTCCAGATTTCGCTGGTTCCTGGTAAAGAAAGCGTCCCGGGGGCTTTTCCCCCGCCTCAGGCTGGCTTTGAACCACCTCGTCCCGTCCCAGCCTCCGGCCTGAGAAGCTGAGACTGCAGGCGTGCGCTGCAGTACCCGGCCAGGCTGAGCGTTGCCCGAGATGATGCGGTCTGCGGCCAGGGACCAGCTCTCGGCTGGCTTTGCTGGGGGGGAGGAGGGGAGAGGAGGGGGGAGGGAGGGTGATGGGTTTCAACAAGGCGAGAGCAGCAGTGGGGGGAGCCGGTGGGGACCGACCGCGGAGACGCAGCGCGGGATGCTGCATGCGGGTGTGTGCGGGTGTGCGCAGGTGCGTGCGGCTGTGTGCAGGTGTGTGCGGGTGTGCACAGGTGCGTGCAGGTGGGTGCGGCTGTGTGCAGGTGTGTGCAGATGCACGCGGGTGCGTGAAGGTGCGTGCGGGTGCGTGCGGGTGTGTGCAGCTGTGTGCAGGTGCGTGCGGGTATGTGCAGCAATGTGCGGGTATGTGCAGCTATGTGCAGGTGTGTGCAAGTGCACGCAGGTGCGTGCAGCTGTGTGCAGGTGTGTGTGAGGCTGTGTGCAGGTGTGTGCAAGTGCACGCAGGTGCGTTCAGCTGTGTGCAGGTGCACACGGGTGTGTGCAGGTGTGCGCAGGTGTGTGCAGGTGCGTGCAGGTGCATGCAGGTGTGCACAGGTGTATGCAGCTGTGTGCAGGTGTGTGCAGGTGTGTGTGAGGCTGTGTGCAGGTGTGTGCAGGGTGCAGGTGCATGCAGGTGCGTGCAGGTGCGTGCAGGTGTGCACAGGTGTATGCAGCTGTGTGCAGCTGTGTGCAGGTGTGTGTGAGGCTGTGTGCAGGTGCGTGCAGGTGTGCACAGGTGTATGCAGCTGTGTGCAGGTGTGCACAGGTGTGTGCGCAGGTGTGCACAGGTGTGCGCAGGTGCGGCCTGACGGCCTCCGCCCCTCCAGGCATCTACATCGTGGACCGGCGCTTCCGCTCCCCGGACGAGTCCTGCAACCAGCTCACCCAGTTTCTCTACGGGTTCTGCAAACAGTCCAAGCGGCAGCGCATCATGCAGAGAAACCGCACGGAGAGGCTGAGCGACCTGCTGCACTGGAGACACCTGGGCAGGGTGAGCCGGCCCGGGGCAGGACAGACAGACACAGACACACAGACACACAGACACAGACACACAGACATATACACATATATGCACATATATACACACAGACACACAGACACATATATACATATATATGTATATGTTTATATATAATTATATATATATATACACATACAGGTATAAATTACATATGTGTATTCATATATAAATCTGGGTGTATATACACATATATGTTTAAAATATATGTGTATCTTTATATATGTATACAAATATACATGTGAATTTCCATATATATATATATATACATATATATGTATAAAAAGATGTGTGTATTTATGTATAATAATATATATGTAGCCGGGCGACGATGGCTCCCGCCTGTCATCCCAGCTACTCAGGAGGCTGAGATCTGAGGATTGAGGTTCAAAGCCAGCCCGGGCGGGAAAGTCCATGAGACTCTGATCTCCAGTGAACCACTAGAAAACTGGAAGTGGTGCTGTGGGTCAAGTGGTAGAGCACCAGCCTTGAGCTGAAGAGCACAAGGACAGCGCCCAGGCCCAGAGTTCAAGACCCATGACTGACAAAAAAAATGTACATATACATACACGTATAAATATATATGTGTATTTATATATAAATATATGTATATATACATATATGTATAGAATATGTGTACATTTATATGTATAAATATATATGATATGTATATATATATATATATATATATATATATATATATATATATATATATATATATATCTCACTGGGCTCAAGCGCGGCTTCTGTTCCTTCATCTGTCAAGTTGAAAATCTCAGTGGTATCTTCAGATGCTGTCCTTCCTTCCTTCCTTCCTTCCTCCCTTTCCGGGGTCTTGAACTCAGGGCCTGGGCGCTGTCCCTGAGCTCTTTCGCTCAAGACTGGCGCTCTACCACTTGGGCCACAGTTCCATGTCTGATTTTCTGGTGGTTCATTGGAGATCAGAGTCTCATGGAGACTGTCCTGGGCTGGCTGTGAACCGTGATCCTCAGATCTCAGCCTCCTGAGTAGCTGGGATGACAGGCAGGAGCCACGGGTGCCTGGCTATCAGGAGTAAAACTCTTGCTTGTTTTATCCTAAAATGTGACATGGATTCCACTCGCGCCCGTGAGTTTTATTTGTATGCCTCAGTTCAAAACAAATTTTTTTATTGATGTATCTTAACCGGGCGCTGGTGGCTCCTGTCTGTCATCCCAGCTACTCAGGAGGCTGAGATCTGAGGATTGTGGTTGGAGGCCAGCCGGGGCAGGAAAGTCCCTGAGACTCTCATCTCTAAGGAACCACCAGAAAACCGGAAGTGGTGCTGTGGCCCAAGTGGTAGAGCACCAGCCTTGAGCTGAAGAACTCAGGGACAGCACCCAGGCCCTGAGTTCAAGCCCCATGACTGACCCTCCTCCCCCAAAAAATAGATGTATTTCTTTGAGACTGGGGAGAGTAAATCCTCACATACGGAAGGAAGGAACTCAGCTATGGAAATACCCGGATGGCCTTTTAACCCCTGGCTTTCCTTTCTCTCCACAGTATTACCAGCACGCACGGTACCTGGCCTTAAGCAGGGCATTTCCTGAGCAGTTCCAAATGGAACCCACGTCACCGCCAGCGGTAACCGTCCACTGCGTTCTCCGTGTGCTTGCAAAAGGAGATTTCTCATTGGGGGCAAGTTCCAGTCAGGCCTTGCAACCCAGAAGCAGCAAAAGGCGTTCAGACCATTGTGCATTGTCGAAGAAGCAAAAGGCACTAGAGAAAGCAGACAGCCTTTGGTTCAGCCAGCCCCCGGCTGTGGTGCTCTGCCACTTGAGCCACAGCTCCATTTCGACTTATGTTTCTGGAGGTTCCTTGGAGATTAAAAAAAAAAAAAAAAAGTCAGCCTCCAAGTGCGATCCTCTGATCTCAGCCTCCTGAGCCGCCGGGATGACAGGCCGCAGCCACCACGCCCAGTTACTTTTCTTTTCAAACCCAGTGTGCATACCTTGCTGTGTGTGTGTGTGTGTGTGTGTGTGTGTGTTGAATCATTGCAACATAGTGTGTTGTTTTTGTCTTGGACAGATGGAAGGATTTAAATTCCCCAGACCTCCCTCGGTACCACCTTCCCCATCCGCTTCCCAGGCCTCGAGCCCGGTCAGCAGTGAGGCCGAAGAGGAAGACGAGGAGGATGAGAGGTACAACGAGGAGGAGGAAGCAGAGAGAGACCGCGTCAATATTAGGTCACCGTTCCCGCCCAGCAATGGGCCTCGAAGGAAGAAATAATAATGCGATGCACAACAGTAGCTCCCGCCTGCCATCCCAGCTACTCGAGAGGCTGAGATCGGAGGATCCCCGTCCAAAGCCAGCCTGAGCAAGAAAGTCTGCGAGACTCTCTCTCTCCAGTGAACCAGCCAAAAAAGCTAAAAAGCAGCGCTGTGGCTCACACGGTAGAGCGCCAGCCTTGAGCGTAAAAGCCCAGGGACAGCGCCCCAGGCCCTGAGTTCAAGCCCCAGGACCGGCAGCCAAAATAAAGAGATCACTAAAAAGAAGGAAAAGGACACGTCGTTCCTTCTTCTCGTAAATTACTGCACTGGGATTTATTCTCTGTCTAAAAAAAAAAAAAAATGGAGGACGTTTGTTGAATGGCCATTTTGTGATTGAAAATAAGCTTCAGTTTATTATCTGTAACTCTGGTCTGTCCAGGGCGTTTTGGCATCAGGAAGAGAGATTACGAGCAAGATTGGAGGTTGTTGTAAAATGGTGATTTTAAGCAGAATGAACTTTTCCTGTGGCTACTTATTTTTTCCGTCATGATTAATATACCAGGTGTCGGTGGCTCACGCCTGTAATCCCTGCTACCCAGGAGGCCGAGATCGGAGGATCTTAGTTTGAAATCAGCTGGGGTGGGAATGTCTGTGTGGCTCTCATCTCCAATGAACCACCGACACAAACCAAAAGCGGAGCCGTGGCTCAAGCAGTAGAGCACCAGCCTTGAGCAAGAAAAGCTCAAGAATAGCACCGAGGCCCTGAGTTCAAACCCAAGATCTGGCACTAAACAAACAACCAAACAAGAAAAGAACATACAATGTCTGTTTCCTTTGTATGCTAAATGCATGAAAGAGGGTCACCAGTAACTTACATGTATGCTTCGTTTTAGTCCATTGTGGGGCTTGAACTCAGGGCCTGGGCGCTGTCCCTGAGCTCTTTCACTCAAGGCTGGCGCTCTACCACTTGAGCCACGGCTCCATTTCTGGTTCTCTGGTGGTACATTGGAGACCAAAGTCTCACTGACTTCGCTGCCTGGGCTGGCTTCGAACTGGGATCCTCAGATCTCAGCCTTCTGAGTCGCTGGGATTACAGGCGTGCGCCACCAGTGCAGTACCCAGCTCCCTGGTACTTGTAGACCCGAGATTCTAACTGAACTCGAAAGGGCCCTCGGAATTACCTGGGGAGCCCCGGTTGCAACCCCAGTAAACCTTTCTAGGTCTACAGCCTCAGTCTTCCTGTCTGCTCTCCTATGGATCCCTGCTTTGAAGGCAGAGACCCATGGTGGAGAAACTTCTGGAATGAACAAGTCCTTAACAAACAGCAGGACAGACATTACTGTCATCCAGGAGATTTTTATCCTCCCCATCTTTCCCCCATTCTTAGAAACCCCCTCAAGTAGCCAAGAGACACCGGAAGTTGATTGAGCTATGTATTTATTCATGTATGATGGATTATTTTTCCGTGTGTGCAGACCCGAGGCTCGGAGTCAGGGCTTGCTTTGTTCGAGGCTGGTGCTCTTCCACTTGAATCGCGCCTCCATCTCCAGCTTTTTGGTGGCTCATTGGAGACAAGAGTCTCGCAGGTCCTCCTGCCCAGGCTGGCCTTGAACTGTGATCCTCCGGATCTCAGCCTCCTGAGTAGCTAGGATTAACAGGCGGGAGCCACCACTGGCAGCCACCCCAAGTGATGGAAACAGACCCCCAAACAGTCCTAGAATGCCAGGCCAGGGCCAAGACCCCTGTGTTTCTCTTGGTTCTACAAGAATAAAAGTAGTCGAGTGCTCTCCGAGCTGACTGTAAATGGCGTACAAAGCGCGGGGAAATGACGGGCGTGTTTTCTGTTCTTATCGGGAATAGAACTACGATTTAAACATAGGCGGGTATAATTTCACCAGGTTGACAAGCTGTCTTCCAGAAACCTCCTTTGAGTAACACGTTCTTCCCCATCTGCAAAAAAAAAAAAAAGAGAAAATGTTGGGTTTTTTTCCCCCCTACATTGAAAACACACATCTTAGCAAAACCCCAGCTACTCAGGAGGCTGAGGTCTGAGGATCGTGGTTTGAGGCCAACCCGGGCAGGAAAGTCCCTGAGACTCTGATCTCCAAGGAACCACCAGAAAACCAGAAGTGGCGCTGTGGCTCAAGTGGTAGAGCGCCAGCCTTGAGCTGAAGAGCTCAGGGACAGCACCCAGGCCCTGAGTTCAAGCTCCAGGACCGGCAAACGCAATCAGGAAAGCATCTCAGTGTAAAATGTCCTCAAGTGACAATTTAGACTATGATAAGAACCTTCTAGAAAATACTGAGGTGTTTGGGAGTCAAAATTGTACAGAAGGTCAGTGATCCTCACATCCTATGGGAACTCAAAAAACTTCCATTGATTGATCAATCGATTGATCGATTGCTTGATTTCCAGTCGTGGGACTTGAACTCAGGGTCTTGGGACTCTCCCTGGGTCTCTTTGCACTTGAGGCTCTACCACTTCCGTGACAGCGCCACTTCCAGCTTTTTCTGAGAAGTTAGAGATACAAGTTTCACAGACTTTCCTGCCCAGGCTGACTTCGAACTGCGATCCTCTGATCTCAGCCTCCCGAGTCGCTGGGATGACAGGCGGGAGCCTCTGGCACCCAGTTACTCCCATCAGTAGAGATGAACAAAAATTGTATTTCCTTTTTCTGAGACGTGCTACTTAGAACGCCTCCACAATTAGAATATGATTAAAAGTAATATTTGCATAATTGTATTAGCTAATTAATTTAAAATCACTGAATGATATAATTAAACTATATTTCTTAATAATAATCCTCGTCCAAACTAACTTCTACCACGCACGGTAGTGCACGCCTGTAATCCCAAACCTCTGGAGGCCTAGGAAAGAGAATCCTGAGTTTGAGCTGAGGCCAGCCTGGGGTATAGAATGGGACCTTGTCACGCAAAACAAAACAACACAACACAACACAAAAACCACCCGAATTTAGCTTTTCTTCCTCCATTCTGGCTGGCTCAACACCTTTTTGCAATAATAAAATTGAAAACTACGATGTCAGCCCATCACCATGAAAGCTGTGTGTGTGTGTGTGTGTGTGTGTGTGTGTGTGTGTACATGGGGCTTGAACTCAGAACTTTAATCTTTTGCTTAGCTTCTTTTGCTCGAGACAAACGCTCTACCGCTGGAGCCACAGCTCCACTAAGTCATTTGGAGATCAGAGTCTCACGGACTTTCCTGCCTGGGCTGGCCTTGAACCACGATCCTCCAAATCTCAGCCTCCCGAGTAGCTGGGATGACAGGCGGGAGCCACCGGTGCCTGGCTGTGTTTTAATCTCTTGAAAACTCACTTGAATGAGGAAAACCTCAGGCCTCACACAATACACATCTCGGTGAATTTGGGGAAAGAGAGGATGAGTTCAGCACCCCCCCCACCCCATCACCTCAGTTCTCTGTGGTTCAGGGGTGAGACTCCCTTACCGGTAGCTTCTTGAAGCTTCTTCAACAAAGCCAGGAGCAGGGCTTTGGCCTCCGGACCAAGTGGCTGAGGACCGGAGCTTCTCCTTTCTGCAGAAAACAAAAACGGATCCAGATTCTACTTGCACTGAACTATTCATGGGAAGAAATCCTATTCTAGCCAGGGGCCGGTGGCTCCCGCCTGTCATCCCAGCAACTCAGGAGGCTGAGATCGGAGGATCGCGGTTCAAGGCCAGCCTGGGCAGGAAAGTCCAGGAGGCTCTCCCATATCTACTCGTGAAGTGGATTATCTGTTTATTTGCTGTTTAACCCTTTAGAGCTCCTTGTATCTCCTGGTCACTGTTGACTGAGTTCCTGGTGGAGGTGTTCTCTCTGAGGTCTGTCTTTTGTTCTGCTGAAATTTTTTTTGTTTAATGTGGAGGCATTTTCATGCAAAAAAAATAAAAGAGAAAAGCAAGTGTGCTCTCGATTCGTAGTGTTCCCATCATTAACGCTTTATCAAAATGAACTGAGCTGTTACTTTCTGGGGGCAGGCGGGAGAGTGTCAGTCCTGGGTCTTGAACTCAGGGCCTGGGCGCTGTCCCTCAGCTCTTCAGCTCAAGGCTGGTGCTCTACCACTTGAGCCACAGCGCCACTTCTGGTTTTCTGGTGGTTCATTGGAGATAGTCTCATGGACTTTCCTGCCCAGGCTGGCTTTGAACCACGATCCTCAGATCTCAGCCTCCTGAGCAGCTGGGATGCCAGGCGTGAGCCACCGGCGCCTGGTGTGCATTGGTACTTTTCAATCCAATGCCACAGAGAGCGTGCACTCGCTCCCTCTCTCCCTCTTTCTCTTACACACACACACACACACACACACACACACACACACACATGGCCACATGACCCCTCTGACCTCCTTGCTGAGCTCTTTCTGGTCATGCAATAGAAGCACGCATCTCAGGATGCAATAGAAGCATGCACCTCGGGATGCAATAGAAGCATGCATCTCAGGATGCAACAGAAGCATGCATCTCAGGATGCAATAGAAGCATGCACCTCGGGATGCAATAGAAGCATGCGTCTCAGGATGCAACAGAAGCATGCATCTCAAGCGTGCATCTCAAGCCACGACGGAAGATGACCCAGGCAAAGGTGGGTGGGGACGGGGAGGAGGACGGCAGGGCGACCGTGATGGAGACGCTGCGCGGGCGCAGTGTCGGTTCTAGGTCTCTGGAGAGTGGGTTCCAGGCCCTGCAGTGGCTGCGCATGCGCAGTCTGCCTCGTTCTCGGCCCCTCAGCGCTGGGCTCCAGGCCTTGCCGTGGCTGCGCATGCGCAGTCTGCTTGGTTCTCGGCCCCTCAGAGCTGGGCTCCAGGCCCAGCCGTGGCTGCGCATGCGCAGTTCAGGGTTCCCGGCCCCCCGAGCGCGGGGCTCCAGGCCGGGCCGTGGCTGCGCATGCTCAGTTCAGGGCTCCAGGCCCGGCCGTGGCTGCGCACGCGCAGTTCAGGGCTCCAGGCCTGGCCGTGGCTGCGCACGCGCAGTTCAGGGTTCCCGGCCCCCCCAGCGCCGGACTCCGTGGCTGCGCATTCAGGGCTCCAGGCCCG